AGGGAGAGAGAGAGAGAGAGAGAGAGAGGGAGGGAGAGAGAGAGAGAGAGGGAGAGAGAGAGAGAGGGAGGGAGGGAGAGAGAGAGGGAGAGAGAGAGAGAGGGAGAGAGAGAGAGGGAGGGAGAGAGAGAGAGAGAGGGAGGCATCGGGGCCTGCAGCCTGTAGCTGACTCATCCAGATGTTTTTGCTGAGGTTGATGTTTACAGATTCCTACAGGCTGGGAGGAAGTAGCGGGACTTCGTTGGTCTGTCCTTCATTAAGCTCGTCAGAAACAGGGAGGCTTTTATCACGACAGACGGGGCTTTCATAACCCAGAGTCACCGGTGCAGAGCTACTGTTCACATCTACCTCTCTGAAAGAGACTCACTGGTTTTATTACACAGCTGCACCTGACCGGCACGAGGCTTCTGGCCAACTGCAATCACAACCCTAATAAAAATACAGTGTTTGTGATGAAAATTAGTCCCTACTTTCCATTTCAATCACTGTGCATCATTAGCATGTGGCCCTTTGGGTCTTAATGCTTGTTGTGGCTTGATTTTGTCTCAAATGTTCCTAAGTTTAACTGAAGCTAGAGAACAACCACGCTGCAGCCAATCAGACAAATAATTTCCATATTTCTATTAGAAACGCTGCAGGTCTAGTCATTGATAAATCATGGAGGGTTCGTTGAGTGGCATATCTTTTCAACAGTAAGAAGAATAAAACATTCTGCTGACGAGGCTAGGTGAGAAATCCTATTTTCTGCGTTTTTGTAGCTTCAGTACTAGATTGTGGTCAGCTCATCTCTTGAGTGTTGTGGCTCTGCGACGAGGTCAGATTGAGGACAGAAACTCCACTTCCCACCGCATTGGACCAACACAAGCAAGCATCCCAGAATGCACCGCTTCCAGCCAGCTGACCTTCGGGGTCGGCAGCTGTCAGTCACAGCCTCAGCTGCCTGTGCGGCTTCTGGACACGGACCGGAGGATGTGAGGGAGGCCTCTGAGAGGAACCCCGGCTCTATATGGGATCATCTCTGTGCATTCATGGCCGGGGTAATTGAATTAGCTCTCCTTCTCCTATTCTAATGCAAACCTCAGGTTGAATCACCACCCTGTACGTGAGAGGAAAGGCCTCAGGCAGAGACAGCGAGACTAAAAGACAGCTAGTTTGTGCAACGCGCAGTTACTTTAGAAAGCTTTTCTTTGTTTTCCTGTTTAAAATAAACTTAGATTTAAATTTTTACCATTAAAGTCCCAACTCTATTTATCAGATGAGAAGGAAGAGGAAGCAAGGCTATCACAGGTGGTGGTAACGCAGGAGAGGAAGTGACTTTTTAGCCCGAGGCCTGCGAGTGGTGCAGTGAGAGTGCAGGGTCACCTTTATCCACGCTGTCTGTGCCCAGAGCTGCTGCTGGTACTGGAGGTGGAGAGAGAGGAGGGGGGTGTTTAAAATGTGAACAGGTTGAACTGATTTCCTGTGCAGGGTCATGCCCAGGACAGACTAGTGGGACAGAGGTTTGGGGTTGCGTGAAGACAGTGTTGATACTGTTGGCTGAAGCCATCACTGATAATTTCTCCAAAAAAAAAAAAAAGTCAAAAGTAGGACTCCATCATAATTTTATTCAAAGAGGGAATCTGACGTTGAAACCCGAACCATTCATACACCAAAAAGTCCATTTGTCCACACTTCTCAGGGCCGGCCCAAGACTTTATGGGGCCGTAAGCAGGTTTTCCTCTAGGTCCCCCTTCCCTACAAGATTCATCATTGCTGTATGTGTGTAACATATACCCACTATCATTAGTGTCTTCTGTAATTAGCCTGTCATATCTGTGCTGTTACTGATTTTAACCTTATAGGAGCAGCAAACCAACAAAAATGCTCTAGCTAATTAGCATTTTGAAATGCAGAGTGTATTTACGTGTGGTATGTTAATTCAGCTATTTGAAGGTAACACCAGCAGACAAATATTTTATTTACAGTAAACAAGTTACGTTTCTCTGTTTTTTACTTCTACTTGTATAATAATTTGATCGTTCTGGGATTCGCATGTTGAGTGTGAAAATAGTCTTATACCTTTATTTTCTGCATTAGCCGCTGATCAAAAATAGATTTTCAGATTTGAAAAGCCAGTCAACTGCACTTCACACAGTCAAATTAACAATCATGGACTCACCCACAACACTACAGAACTCCTTCAGGCTTGTGTCACTTGTGGAGCTCAAACATCAACAAAGCAGATGAAGTCAAGTTATGTTGCTGTTACGCAATCAGAGGCGAGATGTCTGAATATCAGGAAATAAGACTCCAAAACCTGCAATCTTCAGCTCCCCTTTCCTGTGGCTAATACCTTCCTGAAACTGAAGCACCAGGGCTTTCCTCCCACAGAGATCGTCTAATTTGTTAGACCACTAAATTTATTGTAAAACTCAGTGAATTTGGTCTTTAAAATTTAGAACAGATGTGTAAAATGTGAAATCACCACAAAATAAAACCAAATGACACTTTAGAAAATAATATATTATCAATAGTTTTTCGCTTGTCATAATTTGCACAATTTAAAGATATTAAAACATATTTTTTTCTTGCACTATATTAGTGCTCTTAGGGCCCCCTGGTGTTGTGGGGACCCCAAGCATGCCATGCCGTGCCGCGCCACACCAGTTTATTTGTAGAGCATTTTCAACACAGCATTTCAACTGAGAAAGTGCTGAACGACGGCAAAAACACAGATAAAAACTAAGAAAACAGACACGGGTTAATACAATCTGTAAAATAAAACCACCAATGAGAAATGGCATGGATTATAGAAATGTTAAAAAATTGGTCTTTGTTTGTATGGCACTTTCTAGGGTTCTGCAACCCCCCAAGGTGCTTCACAACACATTCAGTCATTCCCCCCACACACACACACACATGCACACGCTGGTGACGATGAGCTGGAAAGGATGAGAAAGGAAGAAAGAAGATTAAAAAAGGATGTTTAAAAGCAAAATTAAGGAATAAAAACTTGAGAAAAATAATGTGCAGTGTCACTTAACCCTTGTATGCCTTGGGCAGGTTCTGCTTCTTCTTGCTCACGTGTCCACAAGAGTGTCCCATAGCTCAGGCTAGACCTGCTAGCCATAAGATGTGAGCGACATTTCTCGGCATGTACATTTAACAAAGTTATGACAGCGTGATAAAAGCTGTCAGCTCAACCGACAGGCAGAGAAGAACACACACCGAGTGTACCCTTCAGACGCATCGCTTATGATTTCAGACTCAAAAAGCCGTTTCTTTTATTCAAATAAGTTAATTCAGTTTAAATTTTATTTCCCCATTACCAATTAATTTTGTTATAAATATCTTTTTTTATAAAGTTTGAATCTGATGCTTGATGCTGTCATCCACATGAAACCTCAACACTATATTTGTCTTTGCACAGCCTTTTCTAATACTCTACAAAAAAAAAACTGGAAAAAAAAAGATCCTGGAATCAAATGAAGCTTGTGAGGCCTCTCAGGGCAAATGGACCTTATGTTTACACACTTGTCTATCATCCGAGCTGCGTGAGGCCTCGGGTATCCAGAGAGATGGTGAGATGTCCCCAAAACCTATGGCACCGCGTCTGAAGCTGGTAAAGTGCAGAGTGTTTGGATGAGGTTAGTCTAGATCTGAGATAACGGGTCAAATTCAAAAGCTCCTTTAGTTTTAATGCTGAGGTAGGATTATGTTCAGTTTGAATGTTAAAGGAGAAAAACATCTTGTGCTTCAGAAAAGGATCTTCTGCTTTTGTTTAAGACTTCCTTTAATTTTTGTTTAGTTTTTTTATTTTTAAACAAAGAAACCTTTTATTTGGATGGAAAAATCCACAGTGTTCCAATTAAAATGAAGAGTTTTGTAACATTCAGAACTGAATCTCAGTGGGAAATGTTATAATAATTATTTTGCTGTTTCTGTCACATCTAACGGACATCCAGTGTTTATACAACCACAAAGGACTTGCTCTGTTGTTTAATGACAAGGAAACAGTGTTTCTAAAAGAATAGCTCTAACTTTTATTCTAAATGAGTTTGTGGTAAAAGATTCTTATCAGCACTGATTTCTTGAAAAATAAACAATTTAGCTTTTAAAGTTTTTAGTAAGTTAACTTCTATATTCGGGTTTAGATTTATTTATTTTTAAAGTTATTTAAAAGAATCATTTCATTTATTAATAGTTCATACTAAGAAATTCAGCATAAAATAAATCGTTAACGTTGTTAAGAAGTCAGCCTCATAAAGAAGAATAGAACGTAAAGGAAAAAAACTGAAATTAAACTTTTAAAATATTGAAAGCAGTGATTAAATGTTTTAATATGTGGTTTATAACCCGAAACTGTTATGCGATCATTTCTGAGCGCTCATAAATTTCCCTTCTTTTTATGGTATTTAGTCTGTTTATATAAAAAAAAAAACGCGACCAAATAATAATTGATTTTCTTTTACTTTCAATACATCTTCAAGCTCAGTCCGTAGAATTAATGCCTCTTAAATTTAAACATTTCTTTGTTTTGCACTAACGCAAAAAACTTGTATTGAACTAAAAATCACAACCTGTCAAAGGAAAACGCAAATAAAAACGCGCAAATGAAGTGACGCAGAAAAAGCTAGTGATAAATAATAAATATAAATTAGGCGGAACCGAGGTAAAGTTGTTTGATGCAGTTAGTCTTCTGAGCCGCTGTCTGCATCGATCATCTGATCAGCTCCATAATAACAGATGAGATGGGAATTAAATGGTTAACTAGAACAAAACCGCGGTTGATTGAATTTTGGTGGATTATAACACACACACACACACACACACACACACACACACACACACACACACACACACACACACACACACACACACACACACACACACACACACACACGTTTCACGGGTAAATCCCACCCACTTGACAAGAACAGTAAAAACAAATCTCTCACTCCGCCGCTCTCGCGCGCAGCGGCCAGTCGCTGTTGTCTCTGCTGCCTCTTGGGCTCGTTCGGATGGAGACGGACAGCTGTTTGTCCTTTAATGCGCAAAACAGCGGGAGGACACCGACCAACTCTCCTAGCATGGACCACGTCGGATCTGGTACCGGTACCTTTCTCCCCTGCAGCGAGCTGCAGAAGCCGTCTCACCTTCCTCCTCTCCCGCACCGCCTCCGCGGGGATCTTTACGCAGCGGCCATGGGCAGGTTCGGTGATGCTGTGGTCGACTTTACGCACGGCTCTTCGCCGGCGAACCCGCCCGGTTCTCCGCCCAAGCACAACAAGTTCATGGACTCTTTAAACCGGGAGCAAAAGGCGGCGATTAACGGCAAGGAGGTGTTTTATGAGAGCAGCTCAGAGGGTGAGTTTAGTCATAAAAAAATAAAATAAAACAAAATAAAAATAAAATAAAATAAAATAATAAAATAAAATAAAGCATTGGATGCTACTTTTGATTCCCTGTTTATGTTAGAGTTTTACTTATGTCTAAATAAAAACATCCCGACAAACGTTTCATTATGAGCTCCGATTTAAAAAAATTTTTAACAAATCCAGCTGGAGGAATAAGAAAATGAAAATGTGATAAGTCACTTATGATAATTTGGTTTTGAAAAGTGTTTTAGACAACATTGGGGCAAAGTAATGTTTACTGATTAATTATTTTTGATGCAAAATAAAAGAAAAATATTCCTGCAGTAAAATTAATTTCATACAAACTCCTATCAGTCAAACACAGATTTAATTTTAGGTTTTGGAGGATTTTTATGCTCTCTCTTCAAATGTTGCTAAAAAAAACTTTAGAAGACCGACGTTTAAAACTGTCACTGGAAAATGAAAAGTTTTTGTTATAAGAATAATGTTGCACCCGTGTGTGTGTGTGTGTGTGTGTGTGTGTGTGTGTGTGTGTGTGTGTGTGTGTGTGTGTGTGTGTGTGTGTGTGTGTGTGTGTGTGTTGTTGTTGTTGTTGTTGTGTGTGTGTTGTACCTGGCTGAATTTGCTCTTTCTCTGTTTCTTGGTCCAGATGATTCTGTAAAACAACAGGATATCAATCCTGATAAAGTCCTTGTGATTTCTGAGTCTATAATAATAATAACAATAATAATAACAATAATAATAATAATAAACACAACTCAAATCAAGGCCAAAAACAGCTAAATAATTTTAATGATATAGTTCGACTTGATAATCATGTAAAACTTAAAATGTCCAACAAACTCAGCTTAGGAAGGAATGGATCCTCTTTATTATGACCCATAAGTGCTCCAGTTTTATAAACGCTGATTAGGGGTTATTGTGTAAATTATTTAAAAATCATCAAAGATTTTGGTGTCCTGAACTGGTTCTAATTGTTTGTGTTTGTTTGGGCTTGTACATCTTGATTATTATTATTATTATTATTATTATTATTATTATTATTATTATTATTATTTAGTAGTAGTAGTAGTAATATTATACTTTGACCTGTTTTATCCTTAAATTCAGGTTTAGTTTACATTATTTATAACAAACCACCTAAAATATATTTCAACATAATTTTGCATTTAAATAGATTTTTTATTATACTACAAATAACAACAAAAATGTTGTGTACTGTTTTTAATGAATATTATTTTTTAACAGTGGAGCAGATCATGTAAAATAACCTTTTACTGAAAAAAAAATGTCTGCACTTTTTCCTTGTATTCGCTTCAGACATTAAAATGTAACAAATTTCAAGTTAAAGTTTAGACAAAACTAAACTCAATCAATGCCTTATTTTTATTATATATGATTTAAATATAAAAATGATACATTATGTTTTTTATATACATATATTTTATGGTAAATGGCCTGTATTTGATATGGCACCTTCTAGAGTCCTGGAACCCCCCAAGGCACTTTATGACACATTCACCCGCTCACAAACATCCACACCCTGGTGAGCTACATTGTAGCCACAGCTGCCCTGGGGCACACTGACAGAGGCAAGTCTGCCGTACACAGGCGCCACCGGTCCCTCCGACCACCACCAGCAGGCATGGTGGGTTGAGTGTCTTGCCCAAGGACACAACGACAGCAACAGACTGAGTGGCGCTCGAACCTACAACCTGCCTATTACGGTGCAGGCACTTAACTCCTGGTGGTAGTATATTTTATGATGCTATATGTTTTTTATTCACATAAACACAAAGTGTGTCTTTAAAAAAAAGCTAAACGTCTCAGATTTTTGCTTCTCACTAAACAGAAACGACATATTGACGTTGAACAGGTTTAAAACAGTAGCGTTAAACTCTGCAATATGTTGCAATATTAATTTTTCTATTTTTGTCTTTGCAAGAATAAAATCACATTTTCCTGCACTTAGGGGTCTGCATGCACCAACGCTAAGCCCTCATGCAGAGCAACTTCATGAGACAGTAAGAGTCTAATTTATAAAACAAATTCTAAACTTCATTAGCTGATATTTAATTACTGTGCCGATAGCTAAATGCTCACACAGAGCGGGCCTGCATGCCCATCAAGTACAACACATTTTTAGGCCAAACTCTTCTCCCTGCTGAATCAATCCCTTCTACATTTGACAAAGATCTCCAGTTTCTGTGTTGGAGGCAGAGCGGATGTGAGCGCTCTACAAGCTAAAATCTGCTCATTGTCCTGAGGCCCTGTTTGCGGCTGAGAACGTTTTCAGGATATGGTGTAAGGTGGTCTCTAATGGACACGAGGAAATGAATGTTGCAACCAGAAATGTTTTCTGTTGGGCTCAAAATTATATTAAGAGGATTGCAAAGTGTTTCAGCTTCCCCCATGAGAGTGCGAGTGTTTGGAGAGAGATGAAGTAGATTTGTTCTGGAGTTCAGAGTGAAACCTAATGAATCCAGACAACAACATCCAAACACTGCAGGAGGGAGCCGGCCTTCCCAGGGTCTGTTAACAGGAAGGAGAACGTTTCTCTTAATAAAACAGGTCAGTGGGTAAAAATTATATTTATTATGTAAATCAAAATATCTAAGTGATACATCTTCTAATCTTTTAAAGTTGTGGTGATAATACTTTACGTTTTCTGCTTAATTGTTGTTATGTCTCATATTTATTATTCTAGCAGTTTGAATTTGTTAATTAACCCTCCCACTGTCCTAATGGGTGTGGCCCCACGAGGAAATTTGACCATTGAGCAGGATTGATGGTTTATCCCTTGAGGTCCACGTGGCAGGGGTGAGGTGGTGCTCACTCCTCACCCCTGCCACGTGGACACAAGGAATAAACCATCAATCCTCAATAGTCAAATTTCATCGCGGGGTCACACCCATTAGGACAGTGGGAAAGTTGAAACACAAGCAAACATTTTACGTAACATCCTGTTAGATTCTGGTTAGATTCAGCACAACATTATCACAGCATATAATGCAGGACAGAAAAAATTAGGAAATTAAAGTAAAACCACAAAAGTGGAACTTTGGTATAGTATGGCAGTGAAAATCTGAGGTTGATTGTTGGGTTGTTTAACTTGACGGGAAAAGACTAGGTTTCCAACTCTGAGATAATCTGTTTATATTTTAGATAAAATAGAAATCTGAGCATGAATAATCTTCAGGTTTGTGGTTGAATGTGCATCTCTGCACCTATGAACATGTAATTACCTCATTCATCAATGTCATTTATCAATTAACAAGAGCTCAATAAAGATCACTAACAACCAAACCAAACAAAAAATAAAACAAAACGAAACAAAAACAAAAACTAAACTAAACTAAACTAAACAAATCAAAACAAATAAACAACAGTAAGAGATCTGTAATAAAATATCACTGTACTGCTGAGAATTAAAATTGAAACATTTCAGTGAATGGGCCCTAATCTGAGTCTGGGTGCTGCAACCAAAACTCAAATGTAAAAATACCACCTACCAACAAGAATAGTTTTTAAAAGACAAAAAGATAAATATTAATACAAAAATTAAGCTGGAAACACTTTATAAAGTACTGATTAGCATTCATGATGCATTTAACAAAAAAAAAACCTCATGGCTTCTTACAGTAATGATTCTTGATGAGGTTTGAAATAATAAAAGTAATAATAGAGTCTTGTAATAAAGAGGTGTCCTTCATTTTAAAGTTAAATCAAAACTCATTATAATTCAAAATTGACAACATTTTAAAATTTGCATCTTCAAAATACCAAATAAGGAGAAAATGATGATTAGTTTGCACAGAGCTGTTATACTTAAATGTGTGTTTTTCCCCAGTGAGAGAGAAAGGAGCTCTCAAAACCATGGGCTATCCTGGGATTGGGACAGACTGCTGCGGGAAGCTGAAGGAGGCGGGCGGCAGCCTCCCAGGAGACTCCATCGCCGACTCCATCGACTTATCTGGGAAGAACAAGAAAAGACGCAACCGCACCACCTTCAGCACCTTCCAGCTGGAGGAGCTGGAGAAGGTGTTTCAGAAGACGCATTACCCAGATGTGTACGCCCGGGAGCAGCTGGCTCTGAGGACGGAGCTCACTGAGGCTAGGGTTCAGGTGTGCTACAGACAGGAAATTATGTCACTTCTTGAGTTTTATTGCCCCATTCTTTATAAACTCAAGCAAAACTGAGTTTATGAGCTAATGGAGACTTGTTGTCTTCTCGTAAAGGTCTGGTTCCAGAACCGCAGAGCCAAGTGGAGGAAGCGGGAACGGTATGGGAAGATCCAAGAAGTTCGGAACCACTTTGCTGCCTCCTATGACATTTCTCTTCTCCCTCGCCATGATGCATACCAGGTAGATCTCTGGCTTATTGATGCTGATCCTGAATCTGTCACGTCTGCACGTTCATGTTCTGTGAAACTCTGAATCCATGCAGATGCAGGGCAACCTGTGGCCAGGTGCTGCCTCAGGTGCAGCTAGTGGCTCAGGTGCTGGCTGTGTCCTGGGAGCTGACTCCATCCCCTCATCCTGCATGAGTCCATATTCTCACCCCCACAGCAACCTGCAGGGCTTCATGGGCATGCCCACATCGCCCGGCCACCCACACCACCACCACCCGCCTCACCATCCCAGCATCAACGGCCTCTACTCGCTCCACGGCTTTCCGGGGAGTCTCGGTCCCCCTTCCATTGAGGGTCCAGAGGCAGACTACAAACCAACTGGCTTTGTAGCCCTGCGGATGAAAGCCAAAGAGCCGGGTAGCATCATCTCCTGGCCCACATGACCACCACCGTCTCCACTGCTCATTAATGCATCATCTGAGCCAAAGCATTCTGTTTCCAATAACAGTCCCAGAAATATGACTCAAATGTTTCCTCTGTACATTTTATGTAAACCAACTTCACCAGAAAATCCTGGATCACCAAACAACTGCACATAACATTCCTGTTTCCAACTTTTAGTTTCATCTCACAGCGCTTAAGACCAAAGAGGAAAACTATTTAAACATGTAAAAAAACTAATTATCATAATAATCAATGTTTTATGTGATTTACTGTTTGACTAGAAATAAAGGCTTCAATGCACATCAGCTGTCAGGCTCAGTAGGAACCTATTTTGGGGACAGGACATTTAAAAAAAATGAGAGAAAAGAACAATCTCAGCTGGAATTATTATAGCCTCAACATGGGTCTTTGAGAGGGAAAAAAAATCTGTGTTTTTTCGTTTTGTTGCTGGGAATGTGGTTGGGAGGGAAAATACTTTGCAGGCTTTGGTTGCAAACAAAAATATATCTGCTGTGCAGGAAAATAAAAGATCAAAGAATTGGTTAATCTGGGAAAAGCGAAAAAGTAAAGTAAAAATATTAGTTGTACGCTACAGCAGTTATTTATTATAATCAGTGATTAACTTAGCAGTTTCAGAACAAATCACGTTGCTAAAGAAGTTTCAAGTGCTTGAGATTTTGCATACTGCTTTCTGTCTTTGAAGGGGACATGCTGTGACTTTTCTCTTAATCAGATTGATACAAATTACGTTTATGAAGTTCTTTGCACAAAATCACTCTTACATAAAGCAATTTCAGCAGATTAATTCTTGACAGTATCAGTACCTTCCAGAAGGAGAGGTTTCAGGCTAGAGCTGGCCATGCCCACACACCTTCCCCTCAGGCTGCTATAGGCTGAGAAGCTCCAATATCCGGGAGAGGCTCCGAATAGAGCTTCTTCTCCTCCAGCATTAGCTCTTGTGAGGGGTGGTTCTATTCTAATTTCCCTGTTTGTGACATCACAAATGGAGACTTTTGGAAAGGTTCAGGCAAAAAATGTTGGCACATAATTTCTAAAACCAAAAACTGATGGAAAACGAAAGGACAGATTATTTTCTCGCTTGGGGTCTTTATAGAGGCAATAGAGACCCACGTGGCAGTGCAAAAATAAGCTAAAAGGGAGTTTTATAAGATATTTCTAATTTTACTTTTTCATGCATAAATCAAAATCTATGCAGGGTGGCTGGGGTCTCCTTTGGAGATAGGGCGAGAAACTCGGTCATCCGGGAGGGGCTCAGAGTAGACCCGCTGCTCCTCCATGTTGAGAGGAAACAGTTGAGGTGGCTCAGGCATTTGGTCAGGATGCCTCCTGGATACTTCCCTGGTGAGGGTTTCTGGGCACGTCCAACTGGGAGGAGACCCAAGGGAAGACCCAGGACAAGCTAGAGGGACTATGTCTCTCGGCTGGCAACGGAACGCCTTAGGATTCCCCTGGAAATGCTGACCCAGTGGGGAGAGGGAAGTCTGGGCGTCTCGGCTTAGGCTGCTGCCCCTGCGACCGACTCTGGATAAGCGGCTGAAAACGGATGGATGGATGGATGCATAAATCAAACTATAAAATCTTATGTTTATCTTTGCTGCATCTTTACCTCAAATGATTAAAAGACTGACCTGCATGGTACCATCTCATCTGGTTTAAATGACCACATAGCAGTATATTTATGTTAAATCTGCAAACATGTCAGTCTGAGACCGAAAATATGAACTGACTTGATAAAACAAAAGTTGCACAGTTGGACAATAAGGCTTTTAGAGGAACACTGTCCTTTTCTTTTTGCTCGCTGCACTTTATGACAGCAATGCTCGGGGCGGATTGGCTGCCATAGCTGAGCCCCTAACATGTGTTTCCAATTGACGAATGCACAAACCCATCAGAAACACTTTCCACACCCACAGCTTCAAATTCCAGCCAGGCCCTGGGAGACGGCGGCATGCGCTACAGTCACAAAGTCCGCCATGATTAAATCCCAGATTAAGAGCAATAGATAAGAAGATAAGAAGAGCCGTCCAGAGGGAGAAGGAACCGAGGCCATCTTTAGGAGCTGGTGGGTCACACACACACACACACACACACACACACACACACACACACACACACACACACACACACACACACACACACACACACACACACACACACACACACACACACGTTGGCAAAAACTTTTGTTTCAAATCTTCCACACTTACATGACAGACTGGATAAATAATTACTACCTATTATTAGAAACAATAAACTCATATTAAGGAATTATGATTTTAGATTAAATCCGTATAAAAACACACAACAGTTTTAAAACTTTGATCTGATTTGTCAAACATGTTGAGGCAACCTGACGCTGGAGGAAGTTATGCATCATTTTAATGTCAGGGTCGTTATATGAAGACTGTAATAAGAAACTGGAAGTTATTAAACCATTTAGCCCAATTACTGGACTGAACACATGATTTAATGCTCATTAAATTTCATGCAGACCAGTTCTCAGAGCTTTGATCTCAACGGGATTTATCTTTGCCTCAATGTGCAACTTTCGTGACCCTGTATTTAAATTATCCAGGAAGCTAAACAATGTGGCAGCACTGCGTGTCCTCTGTTACAGATGCACATGGTGTTCACCAAAGTCAGAAGCAAGAGTTTTAGCCTCGTCTAGAGATTATTCTTAATCATTTTCCCTCTAAAGTTTACTAACTTTAGGGCCAGTCTGTCTCCCACTTTGGACCCCCATCAATTTGCCTACAGGACAAATAGATCCACCAAGGACGCTATCACCATAACGCTCCACACTGCGCTGAGTCACCTGGAGCACAGAGGAAGCTATGTGAGAATGCTCTTTCTGGACTTCAGCTCAGCATTCAATCACATAATCCCTGAGATCTTGGTCCAGAAAATGTCTCACCTGGGACTCTCCACCCCCATCTGCCTCTGGATTAAGGACTTTCTGACAAATAGATCACAGTCTGTCAGACTCGGCCCACACCTGTCCAGCACCATCACACTCAGCACCGGGGCTCCACAAGGATGTGTTTTGAGTCCACTCCTGTTTACACTCTACACATCCGACTGCTCCCCATATCCGTCTCTCAAACACCATTATAAAGTTTGCGGATGATACCTCTGTGGTCGGACTCATCTCGAAGGGGGATGAGACGGACTACAGAGATGAGGTCAACAGACTGGCGGAGTGGTGTTCTGTGAATAACCTACAACTGAACACCACGAAAACTAAAGAACTTATCTTCGACTTCAGGAAGGGCAGAGCAGACCCGGCCCCATTGTACATTCATGGGAATTGTGTGGAGAGGGTACACTCTATGAGGTTTTTGGGCGTGCAGATCTCTGACGATCTCTCCTGGACCGCAAATACCACGGCAGTGGTAAAAAAAGGCCCAGCAGCATCTCCACTTTCTGAGAGTGCTCAGGAGGAACAACCTGAAGGAGAGGCTGCTGGTGACTTTCTACAGAACCACCATAGAGAGCATCATAACGTACAGCATAACAGCATGGTACACAGGGTGCTCAGCTGCAGACAGGAAAGTACTGCAGAGGGTCATCAACACAGCCCAGAAGATCACTGGCTGCTCTCTGTCCAGCCTGGAGGTCATTGCAAACTCTCGGTACCTCAGCAGAGCGAGTAATATCATCAAGGACCAATCTCACCCCAGCAATCACGTCTTTCAACTATTACCATCAGGTCGATGGTACAGGCCACATAAAACCAGTTCAAACAGATTCAGGGATAGCTTCTTTCCCAGGGCGATCTCTATAGTAAATAAGCATAAAACAATTAAAACTGCTTAGCGACTTGTCAAGGTCAACGTCAACTATTATTGCTGCTATTCTAATGCCATTTTATACTTAATATTTTAGCTGCTATTCTGTATATATTGTGCTATTCGGTACATATTGTACTTACTATTGTTTTGTTTTAGGGGACCTTTTATATTTATAAGTATTATTGTATTGTGCACAAAGGGAGTGGCACTCCAATTTCGTTGTATCCTGTACAATGACAATAAAGGCTATTATTATTATTATTATTATTATTATTATAACTGCAGTGGCAGAGAACATAATTTAAAGGTAAAAAGGGTGATTATATTATTTTATGAAGAACAAATAACACCACGTGGTACGCATAACACTAATTCTAATGTATACTTCCTCTCAGATGCTAAACTTCACCAATATGTAATAGGAGCTAAAACACAATAAAAACAACAGTTTTTGTTCTGGTTTCAGGAACTCAAATAAATGCTCAAATGCTGCCACCGTGTGGTGTTGTTGAGACCGTTTCAAGGTTAATTTCACAGTGAAAAAATGTTTTTACCTCCAGAAAAGTTCTGGTGTTAAAATTAATATTACTAAATCTGAACCATACTAGTGCAGCAGTAGCCTGAATTTATCTCACATCAATAAATGTCTTTAAATAATTTTTGTCTTTAGATTTGAGTAAAAAAAGAAAAGCTAATTAAAAAAGAAGAGCTAATTAAAGATGAGCAGCGTTTTTACTAGGAACTAATTCGCATACATCAAACAATCCCCTATTTAAACACAAACATGCATTTTTCTTTTTGTGACAGTAGCGGAGTGATTGACAGGAGTGACTAAAGCTTCCGCCCACCTTTCAGCCAATCAGAGTGAAGGAGGCGGACCTTCACGCTAATCTTAACAAAATGGCGACTGTTGTTGTTTTGCCGCAGGGTCAGTGAATTAATCCGTTTATTATTTCAGTACATTTCTGCCATCTTTCACAGAAGTAGCTGTGAGAAGCGTCCCAGTAGCGCAGGGGTCGACTCCGCCCGGGCAGAAATGAAGGGTAAAGAGCGGTCGCCGATTAAAAAACGCTCCCGGGCCGTGGACGATATTCGAGAGAGGGGAGGATGCCACCCGACCAGTAAGAAAATGGGGGCTCTGTCGGTTTCCAGTGGGAGTAACAACGGGAATACTTCAGCCAAAAGTGACAGTGGCTCAATGAGACGGAGTCTTCTCGGCGAGAAAAGAGACAGAGACTTCGATGGTCACGGTCGGACTGGAAACAACCACAGCTGTCAGTCTGCTGCTGCTGGCTCCGTGGGGAAAAACCACAGCCTGAGTTTGACTCTGGATTTAGCCTCACCGAGGACCACGTCGCGGGTGGAGCAGCGGGTCCAGCCGCCCAGCGCCGAGAGTGAGTACAAAACGCTGAAGATCAGCGACCTCGGCACTCAGCTGAGCGACGAGGACATAGAAGACGGGCTGTTTCACGAATTCAAGAAATTTGGCGACGTGAGCGTTAAGATCAGCCGCAGCAACGACGAGCGGATCGCGTTTGTGAATTTCAGAAAGTCGGAGGACGCCAGAGCTGCTAAGCACGCCCGAGGCCGGCTGGTGCTCTACGACCGGCCGCTGAAGATCGAAGCGGTCTACATCAACCGGAGGAGGAGCCGCTCTCCGGTGGAGAGGGACTTGTACAGCGCTGCTCAGAGCCACAGACATTTGCAGAGACCCATCTCGCCCACCGGGCTGGGCTACAGGGACTACCGGCTGCAGCAGCTGGCTCTGGGGCGGCTCCCTCCTCCCCCGCCGCCCCCTCTGCCCAGAGAGCTGGAACGGGACCGGGAGTTTTCCCTGTTTGAAGCCAGGGCGCGTCCAGCTTTCATCGCAGAGCGGGCTGCTTTTCGTGAGGAGGATTTTATATCTCCAGAAGATGACCAAAGAGCCAACAGGACGTTGTTTTTAGGCAACCTGGACATCACAGTTACAGAAGCAGACCTGAGGAGGGCGTTTGACAGGTTTGGGGTCATCACAGAAGTGGACATTAAGAGATCTATACGAGGTCAGACCAGCACCTATGGATTTCTGAAATTTGAGAACCTTGACATGGCTCACCGTGCCAAACTTAGCATGTCTGGCAAAATAGTTGGCCGCAACCCCATAAAAATAGGTTATGGGAAAGCCATGCCCACTACACGCTTGTGGGTGGGAGGTCTGGGCCCCTGGGTTCCTTTAGCTGCCTTAGCCAGAGAGTTTGATCGTTTTGGCACCATAAGGACCATAGACTACAGAAAAGGCGACACTTGGGCCTACATTCAGTACGAAAGCTTAGATGCTGCACAAGCAGCTTGGGCACATATGAGGGGTTTCCCTCTGGGCGGACCAGAGAGAAGACTCCGGGTGGACTTTGCAGACACTGATCATCGATACCAGCAGCAGTTCCTTCAGCCTCTCCCCATAGCACCATTTGATATTGTTGCTGAGTCATTTCTCCACCGGGCCACTCCAGAACCTCTCCGCGTCAGAGATCGGACTCCACCCCCGCTTCACTTTAGAGACAGAGAACTCTTTCCTGGCGCCGAGTGGCCCAACCCAGCTATTCGTGAGCGGGTTCGGGCATCACCCTTTGAGCCTCTGGAACATTTGGAACGAGAACGGAGAACCCGAGAGCCCTGGTCTTTGGAACGAGAGCTGCAGGGACGAGAACCTGCACGCAAACGGCGTGTGCTGGAGGACGGACGTCATCTCGACCTTTCTCCTGACAGCACTGAGAGGACAGTACGGCGGAGAAGGGCCTCTCCAGATGGCAGTCCTGGGGGCAGCAGCAGAGATGGAGGACGTTTCAGTGACTCAGAGCGCCCCGTGCGGGGCGAGAGAGCCTCTCCGGCACGAGAACGTCTCAGTAGCCTGGAAAGAGGCGGGACTGAGAGAAGGCCAAAAAGCCAGAGTCTCCCAGACAAAGCATCCCTAAGCTGCACTATTTCAGCAACTGGTGAACGAAAGAGAAAGGCGGGCGATGGCAGCAAAGGGTCAAACAAAAGAGAACGCTCTGAAAGCAGCTTCAAGGGAGGCCAGCCATCCAAGTCGGATGGGACTAAACTCAGCCTAGCTTGGCACGGCATGCTTCTCCTGAAGAACAGCAACTTCCCAGCCAACATGCACCTGCTGGAGGGTGACCACAACGTAGCCAATGACCTGCTCGTCGACAGCACTTCAGGGAGGCAGTTGAGCGAGTTGAAGATCACACAGCGTCTCCGCCTGGACCAGCCCAAGCTCGACGAGGTGTCGCGGCGCATCAAAGTTGCAGGTCCAAGCGGCTACGCCATCCTGTTGGCTGTTCCTGGAACCACAGAGGACGCGTCCTCGGACTCTGCAGCTTCAACCCAACGTCCACTCCGCAACCTGGTGTCCTACCTCAACCAAAAGAAAGCTGCTGGGGTCATCAGCCTGCCTGTAGGGGGCAGCAGAGATAAAGACAACATGGGGGTTCTTCATGCTTTTCCTCCCTGTGATTTCTCCCAGCAGTTCTTGGATTCTTCAGCAAAAGCTCTAGCAAAAAGCAAAGAGGACTATTTGGTCATGATTGTGGTTCGAGGCGCATCATGAAGTGACCATGGTGGAATAAAAAAAAATTGCTGTATGTCAGTAAATATTGCATGCTGTGTGTTCTGCATCTCTGGGTTCAGTAGTTGATTTCTGAGCGTCCATGTCATCCACTAGAAGGACAAATAGTGCTTTAAAACTCAAAGATTATTTATTTTTTTGAAATGAACTTTTAGCAGGCAAAGTAAATAGCTTACAGTCACTAACCTGCTGTAGAGTTGTTATAGTTTTAAGTGATATCTTTGAAGTTCAGTTTTAATCTTGTTTTGTAGAAATAATTTGGTTAATTTACAAGTTTAAAATATTATCTTTGCCAGTTTCAAAGGGTTTTCCTCAGAAACACTTCCAGTCGAACGAGACCACGTGTTATCAGTGTTGGATCCTTCTCACAAAGCTGTCTCAAAAGGTCATGCTTGTTTTTGGGTGGTTGTATCACACCAGTCTGTACCGGTGCTGATATGGTTTTAACGTCCTACACGTTTAATGGAAACAGGCCTGTAGTTAGCAGTCTTGTGCTAAGCTAATGTCACCAAAAATAACAGGTGAGCATGACAGTTTTAACTTCAGATCTTTTGAAGTGGTTTTCCATGGAAAGGTTATGAACAATTAGCATCTTACCTGTTGTAAACAAGCTCTTTGAAATAACCTCAGTTTGGAGAAACGAGTTAGTTCTGGCAGGACTGATGTGCTAATGGCTAGTCACTACGAGGATATGACTAACGTGCATTGCTGCAAACATTATTTTATACATTTCGACACTTTCATCAGCTGTGTTGTGTCGTTATTTACATCTGATTCTGTGGTTAATTGGAGTTCAAAGAGCAGCAGCTACCTTTAGCGCTTTCAAGTAAAAATGAGCATCACTTTTAAATTTTGGAGATAGAAGTTTACAGATTGTATTACCCACTTTCACCTCAACCTGCACCTTGTCAGTATGGTCAGAAATAATCTCCATTTCTCCAAACTGAGGTTGTTTTTTTTTAAGGTTTTTGAGTCCTAAGTGGTCTGTTGCTGGCGGGAAAAAGGGTGAAATTTGACGTTCAGGTGTGTCAAACATCTCTTCTCCAGTAAATCAACCACATGTTAAATGTTCTACCCCCACATATTTATCTTTCTCAGTAAAATGTCATCAAGTTTAAACGAAGTGGGATTTACTGGAAAAGAATTGTTTTTAGTTATTTTGATTAACCTAACTTTTGTCTGCTTTTGTCCAATTTTGCAAAGTGAAGGAAACCTTTAGAAACGTGCCCTTCATTTCAGTAACTTACATTTGTGTTAATTTATGATTCGTTTCAGTCATTGTTAGGAGTTCCACCTCATTTCAGCATCTATGTGTGAAACGCTGCATATGTTAGATTCTAGGAGAGAGACGAGTCTCTTAACATGATACAGTAAACACACTTATCAGATTTAAGGCCTTCCTGTGGGTTAGAGATGATTCTACATTGCTATCTATATAAAAGTGAAGTACTAATGTGTGAAAAGCTTAAGTTTTTGTGCTGATATCTAAAGTTTGTTTTATTTTCTTAAAACTAGTTTTCCCCCAGTGATAAAGGTATTTAAAATCAATAAACGGGTGTTAAAAAGTAAACAAAAAACAGCTGGGTTTATGGTTTTACACTGCAAAAAATGATTTTCAAATAAGTAAAAACAAACATTGTTTTTGACATTTTATCCTATTTATAGTCTAAAAAGAAATAAAAAGTCTATCTGCAAAAAATAGGACAAAATGTCCTTAAATATGATTTAAAAATTTGTGAGTTAAATATCTGCTAATGGGGTAAATCTGTTAGATTTAGTTGCTAGCTTTAAGAATTCTAACGTACCGTTGGAAGATTTTTTTTTTCTCAAAACAAGAAAGTTTGATCATATTTAACTGAATTTAGCATTGCTTTTACAGATTTAAACATCTAAAACAAGTCTTAGTTGAAAAACATTTTTTGCAGTGTAGAGTTGTTTTAACAGTAAACATGGAGCTAAAGCGTAAATTTAACAGTAATTCTCTTATGCCCGCCACTCTTTCCTGGCCTGGTTTTAGTCGCTGTACATTTTTCATGCTCTGTTCTATTTTCCTGAGTTTTCATTTCATGTGTACTGAAAACCGACGTGCTTGTTCGTGTGAACATCTCGTCCACTGAGACTTTGGACTTCTGAGGAGACGAATGCAGAGCTGCAAACCTTCTGTGGAAAAAGGCACCTTAGTGTTTGTGAGGCAGCTTTTAAGTTGTGTATCCCATCTGCACCTGTGATGACTTCTGTTTAAGTGGAAAAATGTACGCTTTGATGTCATGGGGAAGGAAAACGCGTTGTGCCCATGCGAAGCTGTTCACGTAACTGCAAGTGCATTTGGGCACTTAGTGTGACCGTTTATCAATAAATTGTTCATTTGAAGGGAAAACTGTTTCTTCGGTGGAAGTGAGTTGAAGAAGCAAGCTGCGATGCCTTATTGTGTTTCACGTGGAGCTGTCACTTGAAATTTTGTTTCTGCTCGCAAGAGGGGAGACGATTTGCAAGTTGTTTAGCTCCAGAGAAGAGAGACCTGGGTTTCGTTTTGAGTTTGCTCTTCAGAAATTACTTCAACTGCTCCTTCTGGCACGCAAACGCACAATCAGGATCGAGGAGCTGCTCACGTTTGTGGGCAAAATCCAGTTTGCAGCAGGAAAGCGGTGGCGCACAGTGGTGCATGCTGAGGAGGAAAAGGGGGCGGAGCAAGCAGCATGGCAATATCCTGTTTCCTTCTTTGATCGTTGAAGGTTTCCCTTGCTTTGATCCCAGTTCTGAATAGGAAGGAGGCGAGGGAAGCTCACCGGCGGCCACACACACATACACTCCACTGAGGAGATTGCGGGTGACATCTCTGAAAAGTCTAGTTCATACAGTCTCTCTGAAGAGGCTCAGCTGAACCACTGATTTGGGCTGGTTTACCTTTCATACTTTGCCCAGTTATGATCTGATCTGCCTTCGTGTCAGGAGAAAGGATGTGCCTGTGTTTGTCCTCTCCTCTGATTGAGTCCTCTCCGAGGAGACGAGAGAAAGCAGAGCGTTTGCTGCTCTGAAGCTGTGTCCTGTCCCCGTCTGAGACCTGCACTGTTGACTTGTTTTCACCATGACTGGAAGGGATCCACTCGGCGGACACCATCACTGAAGACCTGTTTATCAGCTCCCTGCTCCGAGTTTAAGGCCTCTTGATAGAAAAGAAAGTTTTAGTTGTGAAAACAGATTCAGGGATTTGTTGAGAGAAGTGTCTTGGATCGTCTTCTGCCCTGTCCTCTAGTCCAGGACTTGGTGTGACTGCTGTACAGGGACAGGACGGTGGTGAGTAAGATGCACTAAACTGCCAGCCATGACTGTGTCGGTGGCTTAGGCGGTCGTGGTGAGTATCAGTCACAGCACCACATCATCCAAAACCACCACATTAGCATCTCTCTCTCTCATCGCATACAGCGTTGCTTTGCCTAAAAATTGAGTACATTTAAATAATATCATTCAGGTTAGCTAGTTTGTTTAACTATAAAACAGATCTTGGGTATATTATATTTTAACTGATAAACTAAAAAGAGAGTTTTAGCCGTTTTACATGGAAATACTTTGCTGAGTGCAACAGATTGACTCTAAAATTTCCAGCTGTTTTCCATTTGTCCGGAGCAGCATGAGCTAAACAGTGACCATCACTTTGATTTGACACCTTTGAGATAATAAAGTGTGGTTTTATTCCATATCCACCAGAATTTAAACATAAACGTAAACTTTTGCACATCAGCTCAAATTTACTGAATTCAAGGAATCAACTTCTAACCCCAAAGTAAAGTGTTATTAGAATAAAAAGACATCTTGTTATAAAAGCCCTAAAAGGTTTCTTTACGGCTAAAAAACTAATAACCTGATATATTTGGGGTGTTTTGTCAAATCTGTTTATTTCACCATGATTCACTTTTATTAACCTGAACTATTAAAACATCTCCACTATTTAGAAAACTAGATCTGTTTCTACTTTTATTTTCAATTACAACGTTTCTAGCACACAAACACACTCGCTAGAAGTTCTGCACATGGTTGAGTTAAAACAATATAATCTGTTTTTACTTGCAGAAACATTAAAGCAGGTGGTGTCTTTAACGGCCGCCATCCTTAATGCTGGAGATTTGAATCCGTTGGTGATTAAACAAGCTAGGCAGAAGTTAAATGGGTAATTTAGCTACTAAATCAGGTGTGATGGAGTAGAAGCAACAACTAAAGTGTGTAGGAATAAGACTGGACACCACCGCACCTGTTGTGTGTTTAAGATTAAGCTGCTGACTTTTAGCTTTTTCCTTTGTAACACGATGTCGCACAGCTACAACAATGCTATTTTATTTACATAGCAGGTCATTTACCAGACTTGTCATTTAAACTCAAACTGTAATCTAATGTGTTACTAAAGAGGTGAGGTCACTGTAACATCTGTTCATCCCAACATCAATGAGAGCTGACACAACAGTAAAGGAGGTCAAATGTGGTACACTTTAGGTAATTGTTATCTAAAATAATCCAGATTACAGGGTTCTCATAGTTGCTGAAATCATTGAAAAAGCTACTGAATATGAGAATGAACCTGACACTAAATTAAAATGATTTAATCACATATAATAAATCTTGAAAACTTCAACACTGCTTGAATTGGATTTTGGTGAAAGTGTGAGATGACAGATATTAAGTCTTTAAATAAGGAAGTTATTTAAGTCTGAGATTTCTGAGCTTTTTAATTTAACCCTCCCACTGTCGTTATGGGTGACCCTGCGAGGAAAGTTGACCGTTGAGCAGGATTGATGGTTTATCCCTTGAGGTCAGCGTGACAGGGGTGAAGTGGTGCTCACTCCTCACCTCTGCCACATGGACCTGAGTGATAAACCATCAATCCTGCTCAACGGTCAACTTTCCTCACAGGGTCACAACCTTTAGGACAGTGGGAGGTACAAATGAAAATATTCAGCAGGACCCTGACTGAAACCCAATAAAAAAACTCATAAATCTGAATATTTATATTGAGTTTATTAGTGAAAGTCAAATTTTGTTTATAGCCTTTTTTGATAAAGAAAACATTTAGTTTGGATGTTTATTTTTGCGCATATTTATTGAAATCTGGTGCAAATTTCATGTGGCCTTTTCTAAATCACGACACAAACCGTAACATCAGTGCTAACATCCGTCTGAAACAGAAGAAAGCTGTGGATAGTGTGTTTTTATTTGAACCTGCTTTAGTGAAACGTTTTTATTTTTCTTTCCTCAGAGATCATCTGAACCTCATCTGTTTCCACTTCAGCGCCTCCTGGAGTGCCAGTAAGTAACTTCTTTATTCTTACTATCTTTGCTCCATGTCTTAAAATGGATTTAAGAGAAATCATGTAACAAGTAATTTTGTATTACTAAAGTCAACATTGCATGTAAGGAACTGTTTGTTTTTTAAGTTGTCAATAAAGTTAGTTTGATTTACTGCAAAAGGTGTGCTTTTCTTTCTGAGTTGTCAGAAACACACAAAAACAACCTGAGTCACAAATCATTTTATTACATCTGACCTGTGCACTTTTGAAAGGCGTATTAATAAAGTTTTGGAGCAGAATAGATCTTATCATCTAAAGACCAATTGGTACTTCCCCCATGAATACGCTAAAACAAACAAAAACAATCAAATGCCACAAAAAGGCACTCAATTAAAACGTTCTTTATCAGTGGCGTTTGAGTTTGTACCAAAATGATGCTCAAACATAAAGTTCATGAAAACAAGCTAAATGATCCATAACCATGTCAACTTTAAAGCATCAAGTTTGTTTTTTTATAAAAAGACTTTTTCTGATGCAAAAGCTTCAGTGGCCCCAAATCACAAAAGCACACTGGTAGTGAACGCAACTCGTGAGCCAAAAAAGCTGTTGTGCATGACTCTTTAGAGAAACAATACAAAGAGCCTCGCTCAGTATTGTGCAAAGCAGCTGAGGGGGAATAATTTGGTACTAATTGAAGCTGCATTCTTACAGTAGGAGCCTTTTTCAGCCACAAGAGGGCAGCATAATAAAACAGCAGCTGTCTGCTGGGGGGGGGGGGGGGGAGGGTCTAAAGTGATCTTTGGTTGAAAAGACAGGAGAGTTAGTAAAAGACACATCACCTAGTAAGGCAGCTGTGAAAACTGAAGAACTTTCTGAAAAAGAACAAAACAACAAACAAAACCCTCAGATATAAAAAAAAAGATTCAAGAACCAACATACTCCCTAATATAAACGCAGTAACATGTTGATACGCACTTCCGCTAGGTGCGTCCCAGCTCTGTGTAGTCTGGGCTGCAGTCCTGATGGCTGGCGGCACGTGTTCGGCACAACTGGTCAGATTTACACACAACAAGGTCACAAAATGACACAAAATCTCACAGGAAGCCCCGCTGCTCTGGCCAGACTTCTTAGAAAGCACAACTGAAACAGCACCTCCCCCCTCATGGGCTGGAAAATAAACCAAATGTGTGTGCACTCACATAGAACCGCTCAATGTGACAGGGGAAATTTGCATTTACTCCACTGTTTCCTCACATTTAGAGACTCACGCATGTGTGGAGGATTTCAGGCAAAGAGGCCACATGTTGGATGAACTTGAAATAATGAGTTACTTTGGATCATCTAAGTGTGAGAAATGCCAGCAGCTGAGGGTCGAAACCTGAAGGTTCAAGAACCTGACTTACATCCATAATGTGCAATAAGGTTTATATGCAGTTACAAAGTAAATATGTCGGTGTATAAGTAGTGAGAGATGTTTGTTTTTTGCCATTTAAAGTGGTTCAAATGCTATTTAAGGAGTAAAAATCAGTTAAAGTGTCAGGTGCTCCTGCTGACCCCTACATGTTGAGGCAGTTTCAGTGTCGGTTTAAAAATAAGAGCTGAAAGCAGGAATGTTGACATGTAGAGGGCTGGTGAGAGTTACTGTACGCAAAAACGTCAGGTCAGGCCTTGGCCGGTGTCAAAGACGGCTCAGCTCAGATCTTAACTTTAAACGGCTGCATTTATAAAAGTCACAGGGGATAAAACCTCAAACATGATTCCAGAAAAGAGGAAAACGGTGAATAAAAAGTGTTAATTTAGCCTAAGTTGGGAGAAAATAGCAAAAATAAAGGATAAACCATCAGAAGAGAATCTAAAAGTCTGAACCAGAAGTGTTATAAAACCCGACCAGTTCGTTTTTATCTGTGTAAAGATGAAATGAGCTCAAGGTCAATGCCAGCTCATGCCCATATAATCAGTTCATGAATGGAAGTTAAGAGTTTTTTGGCTTCATATATAAAATTACACACTGTGACAAGGGAGCAGGTGTCAGTGACATGTTTGCTCAGTAATCTGATTACCTGCCAGGGAACGGTCAAAGGAGGAGTCATGCCACATCGTCATAACTTGGCCCAAAGTGCATAACAGTGAGAACAGGTTTACAAAAAGGCGTTTCAAGACATCAGGTGCAGAGTACGTCCTTGTGGATATGTGCTTCTATTAATGCCGTTGAACCAGTGGAAGCTCGGCTCCCAGCTGCTTATTGTGCAGTGAGATGTTGCTGCAAAGTCAGTGCAGTTTTATTGTTGCATTCGGGAAAAATATTCCACTTTTCCTTCAATAAATTATATCTGCAGTTATCAGTTGTACCTGTGTTCAGAAAGTCAGTGTTCTGCAGAGCACAGGAATTTTGGCTTCAAGGATTTTTCGTATTGAAACGTTTATTTGACCATTTCATGTTCACGCGTTACTGTGTTGCTAGTTTATGGTCCAAGTCCCCGACTTGAGGCTGCATTTCTGAGCCCAGACACTTGCAGACCTGCGGCCGTGAGCATGCTGGTTCAAGATGGAAGGTCTTGGTTACACAGCGCCGTTCTGCAGGGGGTCCGGGGTGAAGCAGCCATTAATCCTGCAGCTGCTTTCTGCTCTGGTGTTCTGGGATAGTATGTTCCTGGCCTGCCAACGCTGAGCAAACGGCTCCATGAACAAGGAGAGGGAGGAAAGTAGATAGCAGAGCCCCGCCAAGTAGAAAGAACAGTCATACGTCTGCGTGTAGTCGTAAAGGAACCCTACGAAACAGAAACCAGGTGTGAAACTCAAGTCTATTCAATTATAAGCTGAAAACTTCAAAGTGTTCAAATTTGCAACAAGCCATTTCTATGTTGATTTAAATTAAACAAACAGAAAGTTCACGCTCAATACCTTCTTGGCTCCAGTTATTAATATTTGGTTGCACAAGTTCTGGAACCAATAACGGTTTCTAAAAATAGTCTTTGGCCTCGGAGAAAAGCTTTTCCTTTTTCCACGGTGAAAATGTGTTTATGATGTCAGATTTGGGATCTTGAGAGTTATCAGCATTTCTGATGCTCATTAGCATCGATTGCAAGAATAAAATATACAATAGAGCAACTTTTTGTAAAATAAACTAAAAACAGTTACTCTGTGATTTAAACTCATGCACTGAGAATAAAATGTTTGCAGGACATTTTTAAAAATATCATCTTTTTTTACACTTATACTTTATTTTCTAAACTTTTTCATGTTGTTCCATTTCTTATATTATACGTGCCATTTATATTTGCAGGCATTTAGGTTCTCAATTTTTTAATAGTTATGTAAATTAAATATGAACTTCTTAAAATGACCAAATAAATTAATATTATTTTAAAGATTTTGTTAAAAAGTTTTACTCTGGTGGACAGCTCTTTGGTTTGTACGCTTCCATTTATTTTATATATATCTATATATGTGTGTGTGTGTGTGTGTGTGTGCGTGTGTGTGTGTGTGTGTGTGTGTGTGTGTGTGTGTGCGGCAGCAGGATGTAGCACCTCTGGTGCATCCAAGCACTCAGGATTATTTCATAATCTAGCTGCTTTGACTGATAAATGCCATCACTTCACAGATTAAACACAACGGGGACAGATGAAGTAAGCAACAGACTGATGACACTTCTTCTGACTGACAGCTAACTGTTTACTACACAGGCAGGAAGAATGAAACAAGTTGAGAACTGTCAAATCATGCAGTGTTTTCTGTAGCAGAACAGGTAAACAGAGCTGCTGGATATTTCTGTACCACCCTAAAGAGGCCCTACATCATCACTCCCTCCCATAAGCTTCCCCGAGGGAACGACTGAACACAGGCTAAATGTTTGAGGCCTTGCTGCCTTTAAGTGGAGCCAAATGTTACCAGGAAGTATGACTCTCCTAAAAGTACCTGGATATGTAAAAACTAAACTCACGGCTGTGGTCATCATGCTCATATTACTGTAAAGACGGTTTTGCCAGATCAGGTGTCGCTGCAAGACTTGTATTACTGTTACCTTTTTTTAGAGAGCCTGGAGGAGACATAAATGTTTACATATATATCCTCTGAGAAATTTGGTAACAGAAAACTGATCCCAGATTAGAAACAGCCACCAGTTAGGTACTGCGAGCCCTCCGGCGTGCATGCAGTAGTGTTATTCTGAGGGTCTGACCCAGTAACCCATGCACCGAATGTCTGTCTTTGGTATGTTTTCTGTGTCTGCGCTTTACGTTTCTGCACAGAGGCTTTATTCTTAGGAATTCATGTATATGTCTAACAAACACCAGCTCTTCCTCGCTGTTGCATAACAAATCCAGACAGGAAACATCATGGCCCCCGTCCAGCACATGCACATTCATGGATGGGTTTGTGTACATTTGGGTCGGCACATTCATAACTCTTGAAGGTTTTCCAAGAACTGGTCCGCTCACCTGCCAAAGGAGGCCCAGTGAGGCACCCTAACCCCACAAAGAACATGGAGAAGCCCATGGAGTTGTTCAGCTTCTCAGAACCAACCAGATCCACCTGCAAGGCACGAAAAAAAGAAAAATAATAACACACATTCATCTGGAAGTGTTTTAAGTGTAGTAAAATCCTAAACCTCCACACAGTGATTAGCATGTACCGTACCACTGACTGAATATTGCAAACAAAAAGAACAACATGTTCAAAAGAGAAAACTGGAAACATCTGAGAGAGAAAAGAATCTTTGAAAGATCATTGTGTTAAAATAAAAAGAGAATTAAAATTCATTTGTCTTTAATAACGTACGTAAAAACACAGTTTAATATAAAGTTGAATCAAAAGCCATCAAATGAACATTACATGTATTTAATGAGTCAAAGACAGACAGGAGGAATTATCTTCTTTTTAGTCAGATTGAAGGTTGTTCTCTCACAAGGCTCTACTCGTCTAAATCCACAGAAAACACTCAAAATCTCATTTATGCATAGATTGATAATTATAAACAATAAAGGGGCCATATAATAGAAAATCTACTTCTTGGAGCATGTCACATTGTTGTTTCAGCATGAAAAATACCCTCAGACCCGTGTTTGGCTGTATCCATGCATTTTCCTGCTTCAGCTGCAAGTTTTGACTTTTATTTTGAAATTATCGATGAGCCCGAATGGAAAAGTTGTAGGTAATATCATCTTTCTTCTTCTGACACCAGGCCCACTTCATCCCCTGAATCTGGTCTGGGTTCTGAAACTTGTCTACCCTGGCCAGCACAGGGTATGCAGCGTAGGTGACTAACGTAAAGGAACCGACCTGGAAGTCTAGAGATTAGAGTCTGAATTGGCGTGTTGTCTTGTGCAGGTTCACACCCCGGTAGCAGCAGTAACTTTTTATTTTTTTTTCTTTAGCTGCACTTGCCAGTAAGTTTTCAACCCTTTATTGGTAAACAGTTTAAAAAGCACTAATCTTTTTATTTATTTATTTATTTTTTTTATTACTTTTTTTTTGTTTATTTAGCCAGTGTGAGTCCATGTGAGGTGAGCTGAGTAAACAGCTAAAACGCTGCTTGGAAATAACCAAATTCAAAGATCTTTGCAGAAAATAATCCACTAAACTAAAATAAAACAACAAACATGACATTTGCTTCAACTGGCTAAATAAATGACTGTTGACACCATCGGGATTCAAATCCACATGAGCACATGGCAAACCTGAGTCATCAGGCAGATGTCTTAACCTCTGGCCTCTGGACTGGCCCGTTTTGTCGAAGCGGACATGGGCGGAGTTTCACTGAAACGTAACGTTTTATTTCCGGGTATAAATTAGGCTGACGAAAATAAAATTGTATTTAAGCTATCTCAATAGTGCCAATGGTAATGTTTTATTTGATCACAGTAGCTTACTCCTCAATTCTCCTTCTTCAACGTAATCGGAAACACGAAAGAGAGCTTGAGAGTGACTACAGGTTATGTAATTCTACTGTTGGGATTAACTTCTTTAATAACTTTTAAAACTATCGAGCAGAAAACATGCGAGTATGTCATGTTTCTCAATGATTTCCTTTTAGAAACAACAATAAAATCAGATTTCATCATTCGGATTGTCACACGTCCTCGTTCTAGCCCAGAGGGATGGCCGTTGAGTCCTCGTCATTGTTGGGTAAAATCAAACCGCAGCAACTAAATGTCAGCAGGTAAAATGACTAAAGAGACTGAATATCCAGTGACTCAACATGGACCCCCACCCAAAACGGCAGCTGGAAAACAAACCCAAGTTTTCTTTTTCTGATTTAACAAAGCTTGCTCACTTCTCACACCTGCTGCGGATTCAGCTGAGCCTGATACTGTAAGGTAACTTAAGACGAGAGCGGCAGTGTGGCAAGATGGGAGCAGTGGCAGTAGTATTAGGATCATTTCAAAGGGATCTGATGAACTTTAAGAAAAAAACGTGTTTGCCTTCACTCAATAGCTTTTGATTTTAAAGGGGCCATATCATGGAAATCTACTGTTTAGAGGTTTTTACCATGTGATATTCCTCATAAAAAAAGTTTTAGGCTGCATTCATGTATTTTCCTGTTTCAGCTGCAAATTTAGAGTTTAAAATCTTGTAAAGTGTCAATGGAAACTAGTCTCGTCATCAGGCCCTGCTCCTCTCCTGCAAGCTGGTCTGATCTGAAACCTGCCTCCTCTGGCCAGCACAGGATATGTGGTTTAGTCGACTGGTGTCATGTACAATACTTCTGCAGAGGTTAGGGTGTCAAACTGGCATGTTGTTTGGCGTAGGCTCGCATCCTGGTTGCAGAAATAACTAATTTTTTCTTCTTTTTTTAGCTGCTCTTGCCAGTACTATGTTTTCAATCCTTTATTGGTAAACTGTTTAAAAAGTAAGAACTAATCTTTTTTTTCTTTCTTTGTTTACTGAGCCCGTGTGAGTCCTTGTGAGGGGAGATGAGTAAATCAACTAAAATGCTACTTGGAAATGGCCAAGTTCAAAGTTCTTTAGAGACAAAATATTAAGCAAAAAATAATCACTAAAACTAAAATATAAAAAAGATGAAATCTGCTTCAGCTGGTTAAATAAACGACTGCCGACACCACCGGGAGTCAAAGCCACATCAGCTCATGAAAAAACAGAACATCAGACAGCAAAATTACCCACTACACTACCAAGAACAATGCAATTAATGGTTAGCCTAAATGCTAAATGTTATAGGTGTGTTTTATCAGAGCAGGTGTGGGCGGAGCTTCACTAGCCTGGTCTGCCAGACTCACCCTGTCTATCCCACACAGAGGACGAGTCTGGATACTCAGGCAGCGAGCACCATGAGGGGTGGGGCTAGCCAGCTCAAAAATAACCAATCAGAAAAAAACAGCTGTATCGTGCACTGCTGTAGTTTTTTGTAGCTGTAGTCAAAGATGGCGACTGGCGATGTCACAAACATCTTTCTTTAGAAGAAAGGCTTTCAGCGCTTCTTCTTGTTGTGGTTTGAAGGACATGTCCAAGAAAAGAGGCAAGGGCCGCAGCCAACTCCGCTTCAGACGCCATCTTCATCGTTTATGAGAAACTGAGAGTCGCGGTGTGTGACTTAAGCCGGGCGTACAATGAGCGACTTTTTCACTTTTTTGTGCAAATTTTCCACTCGTGCGAGAATCCACGAGATCGGGGAGAGTTTTGCGCCGAGCGTCGTGTAGTCTACAAGGGGTTACGAGAGGCGATTAACACCACGTGACCAGCTACTGACCAGCAATCGTGAGCTCGCACGGTTCTTCTGGCGTGTTTAATATTTTGCTCGTCCCTCGTGAGGGTATCACACTGTCGAAGCGGCGCTGCGAGCAGCTGCGACCCAAAAAGTATCAGAACCGCTCACGGCGCATGCGCAATCCTGAATCAACACCGCTCGCCCGCTATTTCCCTAATAACACACACGTTGTTCGTTTTTATTTCTACACGTTTTTTTTACTCACAAAGATTGTCAAGAAAGCGTGTTTGTCGTGTTCATGTCAAATTAAACTGATCATAAAACACAGATTTACTTTCTTTATTTCGTTTTCCTCATCCAAGCCCCATAAATCCCTGTGTGTCCTCCTGCAGCTCTCCCGAAGGACAACAGGCAAAACAAGACAAAACAGTCTGACGTGTTGTGTAAAAACTGCTATTTTTAGCATATTTTTAGGGCCGACGTGTTGCTACCAGACGTACAGTGTGAGCAGTCGGGTCGCATCCGAGAACTGGGTCGTGCAGTGTGAGCGCATGGCTCGTGAGATCTGCTCTGCGAGGAAGTCGTACAGTTTGAGCTGAAGCTGAACGCTGCGAGTGAAAAAGTCGCACAGTGTCCGCCCAGCTTAACTCTGCTCAGCGCTGATTGGCTCGGTTAGAATTCTTAAGGGGTGGGGTTATTTGAATGGGAGTGTTACCAGGCATGGCTGGCCAGGCTAGAGCTTCACTGAACAAAAAAAAAAAACATTTCATTTCCTGTTATGAACTAAGGCTGATGAAAATAACTTTTATTTAAGATTCATTATATTTCAATAGTGCCACTGGTAATATTTTATCATACTGTGTCTACTTTTGCTCCTAAATGTGTAGAATAACATGGTATGGAACCTGTAAACGTCTAATAAAATCAGGAGGAAGTTTAAATGTAAAATGCTGAGTGGCCTTTTAGGCTCATCTAGTCTTTGAGGTTTGATTTTACTAATGTACTCAAAGTTAAACAGTAAAAAGTCTGGTCTGTGTTTTGATCCTTTTAATGGTGCAAGGATAAGTAATATCTAACCGATTTCTGACCATTAGATGGGGTAAAGCAGCTACAGTGGAGCAAGTTCAGATCCTAAAACAACGTTCTTTTTCAAAAACATTAAAGCATTTCATTTGAACACCTATTGTCATTTTCACATTAAAGTTGCTTATATCCAATTTTTGTGATTACTTGCAGAAGAAATTTGCAGCTAACTGTTTCACTTTTGGTTGCTGCTTAGGGCAAAAACAAACAAACAAACAATAAATAAATAAATAAATAATGTGCAACAGTTGAATGAAACAGAAACAGATTTAAACATAATAAGGCTGCTGCTTGTTAGTTTAGTTAATTTGGAACAAAAATAAAACATTTAAAACTTTTCAACCCTGCTAAACTAATGTGTGATGGCTATTAGTCTAAAAGAAAATGCCAATTTTGAAATGCTCCTTACTAGAACAGGAAGCAGCAGAGCCATGTAGCCGCCACAGAAGATGGCAAAGAAAACAGCGTACACCATCAGCAGTATGTAGGAGGTTGCTAGAGGGGATAGGAGGTTGACCAAACCACAGAGGATCAGGTAGGCTTTGTGGTAATGATATTTATGGAACAGGTTCCTGTCTGTCACCCAGCCTGAGGCCAACTGGGCGACAGTCTCTGTGATACCTGCAACACAGGCAAAGGTGGAGAGGAGAACATGAGAAACGGAAATCAATTAAAGCTAAATTTGACACTAAATATTTAAAAATTCATATATATATGAGGAAATAGTTATGTCTTAAACCTTCCATTGATAGCAGCAGTGGTGATGCAGTTAACAGAGCCTTTTAATATGAAATAAAGGTCAAATAAATAAAAACATTTGACCAAATGTTATTGTGAATCTGTGGATATTTGAGAGTCGCTGGTGAATATGAGGGTTAAGAATGACTCCTCTGAATTACCCAGACTTAGACCTGATCTGGTAGTTATGCACGCTACATCCTCTGTCTGATTGCTGCTGCTGCTTGGGAGTGATGACTGAGTAGAAATGAACTTTCCTCTGCTGAGGTCACCTTTAATATGATAGCCAATGCAGAAACTGCAGTGGTGTATTGACTGTTGCTATATAAGCAGGTAGCACTGAGTTATTGATCAATGAAGCAAGCTGGTTTTAGGCGTATCAGAGTAACCCATCCTTTCTACAGCCTCTGCAGCACAACTCCAGCCGAGTCTGTGTCTTTGGCGTGTTTAAAGCCTTTGACGAAGCCTGGAGGACCACACGTCAACCAACACCTCAGCACCTCTTACCTAACAGGACCTAAGTAAGGTTAAAGGGATGACATGAGGCAGCTGTGTAATGTTTATGTGCCCTCCTTTTGTGATCCAAGAAATGTCCCGGAGAGTCCCCTGCTTGAATACTGACAAGATGTGAGTTTGTTTGTGTGTTTTAGCCTCAGCAGGTTGGTTTAGCCCTGCAGCTGTTCCTGTTCAAACTCAGCACAATGCTGTTTAGATTTGGCCTCTCCAAGTAGCAGCACCTCCAGCCAAGTGCATCAGGGACATCGGTCCTGTTCATTACCTTTCCACAGTGTCATCAAGTAAAGAAGTTGTTAAGGCTGGTGCTAGACTGCTAACCCTAACAAGCCAGCCTTCTGGGCATTGATGAGCCCTGGAGGGCTGCAGGGAGAGGGCCCATGCCACTCAAGTTGCTTTAAACTGGGACATTAAAACAGAGAGTTATAAAAAAATTTGGTTTTCCCAGCTTCTCTGAAACCACTGCTGGCTTTATGTGCCTCCTTTTTGTAAGCATTGGCGCTCCTCCGCAAAGGATCATCCACTTCAGAACTGCTCTCAAACAACACTGGGACCCCAGACTTGTCCCCGCGCCAACGACTTCTCTCAGCTTGTTGTTGCTTAGCGACTCCGGTTAGCTCCAGTGTCGGTGACTGAGAGTTGATGAACACTCTGACCCAGATGACAGTGGTTTCCCTTTCTCTCAGCCAAGCCAATGACAACGTTGGATCTCAAAGGGGAGGACAGCGGGACATCGGGATGGTGGTGCTTTGTGGTGTGGGTGGCACCCCGTGTCTCAGGCTTGGTCCCTTTTGCGTCTCTACAACAGCGCACATGACCAAAGGACGAGAAAGAATATCTAATTGAAAAGAATCTGTGGGTCTTGCTGCGTTCTGGCTCAAAACCCATCAGAGTAAACCTACAAAGCATTGGGCAAAATAACAAACATCTACATTCTCTGGTTTCTATTACAACTATGCAGAAAGTCTACTTTACCGGATGATTTTAGTCGTGCTTGTGTAATTCTATACAACGGAATTGTCTTTGGTTCAATCAATAAGTTTTGAGTTTCTTGTGCAAACCGCCAAACTGTCAGTGTCCTTGTGGAGGAAAGATTTGTCACGATTTCTGAAAAGATTAACAATAATCACCTAAAAAAGTCTCAATATTTAACGTGTTTTTAATAGTGATCATTAATATTTGAACGCTAATGGACACAGCTGCATCTCAATAATTCACAAAGCCTGACACAGCACTTACAGAACCACATGTCTGTGTGGTCGGTGGTCAAAATGTTAATGCTGTTTTCTGGTCAAATGGAGGGGCCTCATCGATGGCACACAGCTAAACCCGGCCGTCCAGGCCAGTGGGCCAAAGTTCAGCTTTTATGTAAGAACGTTCATTACATAAGACTGCAGAGTCTGAGCCGCTCACAAATAATTAATGCCCAAAAGTTGTTGGAGCACTTCTTTGCATCATGTAGGAGATCCTGTCTGTAAAAAACAAAAATGAAAATACTGGCCCTGCCTCTTCACAGACACTGTAAAAACCGTACGGTTACCCAAGACTGTCCACTAAACCAGGACCCATCTGGAAAGAGGCAGACTGTGAGAAGGCTTTTGAAAACTATGAAAGATAAAATGTGTTAAACTGAATTAACACAACTACAAAACAAATTTCTATTTATTTTTCTAAAACCAATGCATGTTTTACTAATTTTACTTAATTTTAAGCAGATTCTAACCATAAATTATCTCTGAACCTTTTAAAAAGGAAACAAATACATAGGTTTCAACAAAGCTGTTGATCAAAATGACAGTATTCCTTTGTAAAATAACAACTTCACCCAGATATTACCAGTATGGATGAAAAATAAGATAATATATGCGAAGGATTAGACTGTTGGTGCTAAAATATTAAGATTGTAGAATTCTGACTGAAAAACTGGGACAAGCATATTTAAGAACCGTTTCTGTCTGGACCCTTTTAGATGTGGCACATTCTAAGCCTGATCACTTCCTGCCTTTTACTGGTGTGGTCATGAAACAAAGTATAATAAAACTATGTGTTTACATGATTAACTGTAGCTTTGTTCTGCTCACATGACTTTGCTGGGAGTTGGTGATTTAAATCAGATTTATGTTTTAGCTGTGATGATATTTTAGCATTGCTAGCACCTGTTAGCACTTTGCTGCTGCTACGAATGAAGACTGCTTTGTTTAAAAATATTTTTAATTAATTTTTTCTTTTGGGTGCTTTTCACAGAAGAAAATTGATTGGTAAAAATGTCATAAATCTTATGTAATCTGTGATCTTGATATTACAGTAAAATAATTGCGAAATATGGCTCATCCTTTACCAATAGCTGTGAGTCAGTCCTGCACATTAGCTTTCTCTCTTTACTAAACATCCCTGACTTAGTGGGTTTTTCTCTCATGGCTGCCTGATGCAGCTCCTTTAAGGTCAGGACTCTGCTACAACCTTCCTCTATTTGCACTGACTTCTCTGCCCGATCTTGAGTAATCAATGGCTTTGAATTTATTTAATTTTGAAGGTTTGCGAAGTTTTATAATCAAATTCTCAGATATGATTGATGCCTTATGTGCATTTCTAACTCTGTTTGTAATGGTACCATCCACCCATCCATCCCCTCCACCCAGTCGATCCTGCTCTTTAATAAGTGGTGTTCTCTAGCAGTCATTTGGCTAGAAGCTGGAGACAGCTTGGACAGGTTACCAGTCCATCACAGGACCACATGGAGCTAACTAATGATTACCACTCACTTCTGGGGTACATTTTGAGACATTAAATTACGTAACATATGTGTTTGTGGGAGGAAACTGGAATGCCAATAGAATATCCATGCGTGCACATCATTTGACGGTCAGGTTAAGCACGTCTGTAATAAGGTTAATACAAATTTACACTGCTTCTGTTTTATCAGAAGGAACCTGTTGCACCAAACTGCTAAACTGTACATGCATGCACTGATCTTTCCCCACTTATCATATTGCATTAATCATGGTCACAGGCTTCATCCACGACTCTAAAACCTATAGTCTTACTATACAAGCAAGCAATAAAAATGATGGACCAGAAACCATTGAAATGGCATCACTGTCGCATTTTAAGGAAACATAATCTCACTTTCGAAAATTTTATTAATTTTAGCACTCTAAGATTCTGTTTCAATTGTCTAAATGATAACTTGTCTAAACTGTTCTCTACTGTGGCCATCAGACGTCAGAGCTCTCATAGAACGATCACTCGGGCCTCCACCTGTGGTGATTGTCTCGTCCCGCGGTGCAAGACTTCTTTTGGTCAGTCTGCTCTTTCTGTAAAGGGGACCAAACTTTGGAACTCTCTACCTACTGACCTAAAACTGGAAACGGACAGTAAAGTTTTAACAAAGAACTCAAAAAATGGTTAAAGTCTAAACAACAATGTCTACATGAATAGTTTTAAACTCTTACATTGCTGCTCAAATTGCCTTGTTTTATTCTTTTAATTCTTTTTTATTGAAAATTGTTTGCGATTTTAATCTGTTTTCTGTTTGATTTATTGTTGATCTCTTTGTATTTTATTTTAAAGTATTCTTCTTTTTAGAAAGGTTCTATGGACAAGTGTTGCAAATTAGCATGTGTGCTAACACACTAAACAATGCATCTGGTTCGTCCAATGTAATTGCTGTGTCCATGTCAAATAAACATCACATATATACATGCAAACCATGGACGTAATTTTGGGGGGGGGGGACAGGGGGGACATGTCCCCCCCACTTTCTCCAAAGTCAGGTTTTCACCCCTGCTCTTTTTACCAATACTTTATATTAAATTGGCACTGGTTGAGCTCTAGGACCAAGCAGAAAACAACCATTTGTGTTGAAGCCTGTTTCCCATTAGAACATACTGTAAAGACCCCCCCACCCCCACCCACCCACACACACACACACACACGTGTCCCTCCCACTTCTAAAGTGAAAATTACGTCCATGATGCAAACTCCCAATGGAACTGAACCCAGGACCTTTATATTGCAACAATACCAACTAATGGCATCACTGTGCAATGTTGATTCATTTGTGCAACGGTAAATTACCACAAATTACACAAACAGAGCACCCGATCCCACCTAATAGTTACCCCACTGACTGAAAACTCCTGATTCTAAATTAAAAATCCAGACGTAGAGTGTTTCCTCCTCACATATGTGTAGCACTGGAAAATGCTCTCAATTAAAAACGTTTTAAAGTTTTCTGCTAAAATATCACAAGACTTACCTGCCACAGAGATTATAAAAGAAGCATCCATTGCATCAATGCCCAGATTTCTAGCCCTTGCAGACAGGTGGAAATATGGGATGAAGTAAGCAAGCTGACTGAAGACCAGGGACCAAGTGTAGATGCAAAAGAACGGGTTCTTTAACAAGGAAAAATCCAGCACTTTGGTTTTTCTGGTAGTCTCCTCACTGGGCAGGCTGGCATGTGAAGAAAATCCAACATTGGTCGACCCATTCATGCTCCCATTGACCTCAGCTGGGCTGTCTGGAGCCATGGGCTTACACTGACTTGAGTCATGGTGAGGCTCGTGGCCATTAACACCATTGAACACCAGTCTGGCCAGTTCGGGGTTCAATGACTGGCCCTGAATGCATCGTCCTCTCAAGTTCTCAGTGTCCCTGTGAGGCAGAGGGGAGGATGGAATGGAGTCTGATTTGGAGATGCCATTAGATAAAAGAGAGGAACCATTCAAGCAACTCTTGGGGTATTCCTTCTCTGCAGAACTCTTCAGGGAAACAGCAGGACTCTTTTGGATGGGTGAAGAGATGGTGTTCGAAACAGCTGGCTTCACGTTGATGGGCCGCAGAAGCATTCCAGAAGCCACTAGATTCAACATGAGACCTCCGAGAATCAGCATTGCCCCTATAGATGACAACAAATACCCAGAACATAGAACCCTACCATCACACATCAGCTCATTTCAATGTGTGTCTTTCTTACCTTGCCAAGCATATTGGTCTAGAAGTAGCTGAGTAAATGGAGCTAGGGCAAAGGTCAAACCCATACCAGAACGCCCTATTGCATAGGCTGTCGCCAATCTTTTTCTGAAGTAAAGTGCTGTTATCACTGAGAATGATTGGTATAGTAGTGCAAATCCCATTCCTGAGAGGAGAAAAAAACCCCAAAGATTAACAGGATTTAGACTTTTTTTTACTCACAAAGAGTCTGGTAATAAAAATCATTGGGAACCAGTTAGTTTTACAGCATTATGAATACAAATAACACATTTTAACTCACCAACTATTACACCCATGCTTATGTAGAGGAAAACCACACTGTTGGCAAAAATACTGATGATAAAGCCCCCGCTGACCAGCACTGCCCCACTGATGGAGGCAACCCTTGCTCCCAGTTTGGCACACACCACAGAGGCGATGGGAGCTACAGAGGAAACAAGAGCAGAAGTAAGATCCGTGTTTGGTCACGTATCATTCTTCACACTCCTGAAACTTGTTGAATATTAAACGTTATGTGATCGGATGATCAGAAATCAGTTTTGAAGTATTTTTACAGAAGCTTGCTAAGACAAAAAAAAAAAAAGTCTTTTTTTTAATTCAAACCTCCAGACAGACGTAGACTAGACATGATGGAGCCTATCCAGCTGATGCTCTCCGCTGAGCCTCCAAACTCGTCTTGGAATGCCACAAAGAAGATTCCGAAGCTTTTCAGTGTGCCCATCACAAGGACGTTCACCTGCATAAACACAAAATAATAGTTAATGCCATTTGTTCAAATGTAAAACTCAACAAAAAAGGGATTTCTGCATTCAATTTCTTTAATTTAGCAGAACTGACTATTATGTCATTGGAATTTTAACAATCGAGGGAGAATTTTTTCTCAAAATAGAGACAAAGTCATTACCGGCATCTAGAACGCAGCAGGGACCCTTTGATTTCGGTCATTCAGAAAGTGAGAAAAATGTTGAAAACTTCTGCCTTAGCTCAGTTAGATACAGGCTGAAAATGAACCACAGCAGAGGTACTTACCAAGAAACAGTGCAACACCACCATCCAGCCCCAACCTCCGTCTGGAGGATCCTCATACTCAATGTCTTTTTCTTTCTCCTTCCGTGTAGTCATGGGATCTTTCCTGAACAGATTCATGATGTCCTCTGTTTCACTGGAATCAAAAAAGTAAACACATTCATGCAAAACTGGGATTATTTTAGGGAATGCACAAGATTCATCACAAGATTTACAGTGCATGTGTACTCAGTGTAAATGTCAAACGTACAGCTTTAATTACACACTTTATTTTTCATATTTTCTAAACAGGAATGAAAAAATAGCAAACGCAACCCAGTTAAACTATGAAACAGGTCAGTCACAGAGCAACCAAACCTGGATCTGCCCTGGAGTACAGCATGAAGAGCAAATATTTAATTATGTACATTATAGCTGTAAGTCTGCCGTAAGCACCAGCAGCATGCTATCTGCACGCTGGGCTGATAATAGTTTCTTTGTTCAATTTAACTGAGAACAAGTATAGAGGGGAAAAAAACTCTTCAACCAGATCTGGATCAAAGAAACTATTCCCTAGAAAAAATCAGTCTGAAAAACACCATTTATGCAGTAAAGTTGCTGCTGCTGCTGCTGCTGTTAAATGTTGGTAAAATCAAGTAAGGTTTAAATAAATGCTGTTTTCAGCTGAACTCATTTTTGTTGAATACAACTCTGATTATCTTAAATCACAGATGTAAATGTTTAAAGCTGCTGAGCTGAGGATTCTGATAATCTTTGGTATACAGTGATCAAAGCGGCCCAGTGGAGATCACTGTTCATGGGTCGTTCTATCTCATGCACCAATACAAAGCTTCATGCTAATGTGAAGTTTTGTATTGGTTTGTCATTTTAACAGGTTTGTTTGGTTCCCTTCATGTTGGTGACATAACCCAACAGCTTGTGGGTGTAATGAAGCCGGAAATGCAGGAGACTATTTTATGACTATTTCGGTTTAGAGAAATATCAGTGGTTGGTTTATAGTTGTTCCCAATATTCTCACTGGTGTGTGACTGGGAAGGAACAACATTGCATATGTCAAGTAAGAGGACAAAAACAAATCAAAGTGCTTCAGACTTTACTTAGCTTCCAGACTTGAAACTGGGCCTTCTTAGGGTTTTACAACCCCCCAAAGGCCCTTCACAACACCATCAGTAATCTACTCATTCACACTCTGGTGATGATGAGCTACAATGTAGCCACAGCTGCCCTGGGGCATACAGATGGAAGCAAGGCTGTCGAACACAGTCCCTCCGACCATCACCAGCAGGACTAGGGATTAGGGCAGCACTAAGCAACTCAAAAATAACCAATCAGAAAAAAGGCGGAAATGACAACCGTATTGTGCAACGCTGTAGTTATTTTTAGCTGTAGTCAAAGATGGCGTCTGGTGACCGCGCAAACATCTTACTTTAGAAGAAAGGCTTTTGATGCTTCTGCTTGTTGAGGTTTTAAAGACATGTCCAAGTCACTTAGAACAGAGGAAAGGGCTGCAGCAAACTGCTTTAGATGCCATCTTCATTGTTTATGAGAAACTGAGCATCGCGGTGTGTGACGTACGCTGCTCAGCACTGATTGGTTAGAAATCTCAGGGGGTGGGGCTATTTGAATGGGAGCAATGTCAGGCCCTTTGCTTCCCATAAGGAAGCATTGGCACGGCTGGCCAGGATGGTGTGTCACCCTTCCTGGTAGACTTTACTGGATAAAGATTAATTTCAAAGAGCTTTTCTCCACTGCTTAATCCCTGCTGGTGTATCTCACCGTATCTCAACAAACACCAGATTATTGTGCAGGTCAAAATAACCTTGTCTCATAACTGCACTGATGAAGTGTGTGTTATTGACACAAAACAAAAACAACACAGATTATAATAGAGATTAAGATCATTGTTTTGGTTTTAGACAGAGATTTAGATTTAAACTCTTCCTTTCTGGCCCTCATCATCATAATCCTTATCTATGTTCAGATGAACATGGATTTTTGTAGATTTAAAACTCAAACTGAGACTTAAAGGAACAGCTCAAAATGTATAAAGTGGTTTAGTGGAAATTTTTTATAAATTATTAATATGTTGCTTGTTGTAAGAAAGCTCTTTGAACAACAGTCTCACCTGGATCAGTTCCAAAGTGGATTGCTGCCATTTTAACACATTCCTGCTTGCCGATTCGCAGGCTAAACTCTTAGCACGGCAGCTAGCTCTCACCACAAGGGTTTGTAAATACGCATAGAAAGTGGATAACTGTATTAAGCTAAGCTGGCAGCACCCTAAATAATCATAAAACTCACAAACAAACTGAAACGTAAGATGATAGCAGTCCACTTTGGAATGGTTATGACTAGCTGTTAGCTTGTCAGTCTGGTCAGGCTTTTTGTTTTTTCCAAACTGAGAATGTTCAAAGAGCTACCTATAGCAGGTAAGATATTAACTTTACATAATCTCCAAACAATGAGGACCGTGTTTATAAGCAGTGGGTCTGTGATTTTGTGCAACAACCCAGAACATCATTTGACCCGTCAAATGTGGAGATGAATTTCACCAGTGTGTGAAGACAAATGGGACTTTAACTTTAATCCACAGATTTCCCTCATTCCATTTCATTTTCTCTCTCCTTTTCCTTACATTTTTTAATCACAATTTTTATTTTATTTTTTCATTTCAAACATATTTTTGATCCTTTTTTGACATCTTTTTTATATTAAATTTGTTTTGTTTTGTGAAGCGCTTCATGATTTTTATTTTGACAGCCGCTATATAAAAGATTGTTTTCTTTCTTTCTTTACATGTGTTTTATAGTGATTTAAGACCAATTTGTATTTAACCTGAACTTAGTCTGACTCCCAACACACAAGTACGACCTTGAATTGCTTCGGCCTCTTCTCGGAACATGTTTCCCCAGAAGATTTACAATGAGGTTAGGCTTTGCATGTTTAACTAAGGTTTATGACGCAATGACAAAAAAACAGCATCATCCCCAACTGAAGGAACATCACACGAACAATATATGAAATAAAAGATGAACTTTTGGTTCTTGGTATCTGGAAAAACTGACAGAGCATTTGAAAGCAGGAAGAGAGAGGAAGAGAGAGAGAGAGAGAGATTACATTTGTAGCTGTAAGATTTTTCTGCATCATGCTTTTTTTTATGCCACTGACTTAATTGCGTAAATCGGTTGACAGAATATTTTTATTCTTTATATCGTCTCAGTTGTAAAGTCGGAAAGCTGATTGGCCGTGGATCTGCCTTTGATTCAGTTCCTCCAACAAGCCCAGGCTTAAACAAACTCAAATTTTAAAACTATTAGTTTTCGCCTCTGTCAGTAAAATTAAACTAAATCTCGGCTGAAAACAAAATGCAGTGAAGTATGGGATTGATCCACCCCCTGTTTTGGTTTTTTGTCCACAACTGTACGTGACTTTGAGCCTTGTGAAATATCCGGTTGGGTGTTAAAATAAGGCAAATGTCTCCTCTCCAGCAATTGATCACACTTCTATAGTTTGTTTACATTCTGTTGGACTTTAATCCCATGCGTCTCCTATAAAGATGTCTGGCATACTGTGGAGTCAACCTCTGAAATCAGTTCAAAGAGAACCCCTTTGTGTGCAGATGAAGATGCGCTGACTTAGCAGTAAATGTGTTACTGGCCAATTTTATTCAGCTCTGCTTGTGGGAACTTTTACATGTGGCCAAGTTTCTCAACCTGACCAAAGCTGAAGACAATATATATATATATATATATATATATATATATATATATATATATATATATATATATATATATATGTGTGTGTGTGTGTGTGTGTGTGTGTGTGTGTGTGTGTGTGTGTGTGTGTGTGTGTGTGTGTGTGTGTGTGAAACAGCCTCTATTATTCTGTTTTGTGAGCAGAACTAAAGGTATAGAGGAGGATCTTGTTCTTCCAGGTGGATCATCTGAACCATTGGTCCACATAACTGTCAATCATTCTACAGAAGCTTTCATTCAAGGCTGCTGTTGTACGCACTCGTTCATGGGTTAGTTTTCACTTCTTGCGCATGCGGATTCTGTTTATGTGTAGAGCGACAAGTCTTCATTCCTCTCTGTTTTCATCAGGTTCTTTTGAAAATAGCTTTGAGTCGGAAGAAAAAAAGTGCCGTTGAATTCTATGATAAGAAGAAAAAAGCCTCCGAAGTGAGAAATAAGACCAGAGTTTTTTTTAGGGTTAGCGATAGCTGGGCTCCCCACAGACACTTCTGATGCCGGTTTTCTGCTCGACAGGCAAGCTAAAGTTCGAGACGCTATTTGGAGAAATTCATTACAGATTTCTGCAAGAAGGAGTTCTGCAAGGCCGGCAGGTACTTGTAAACAGAGCATGCACGAGGATAACTGCATGGGTGTTCTCTCTCATGAGCATTTTTTCAAAACATGGAGAGGGCGGTTATTTCCTGAAATTCAGAAACATCCTCCGCCATACCTTTAAGCAAGTTGGCATTTCATCAAACATTAACCATAAGGTTCCTGGAAACAAAGTGGTGCTTTGAGGATGAAACATTAGGAACAGGTAAAAGGCTTGACAACTAAAAAGGGGGTAATGGTGTCAACGTAGTTTATGTCTACATTAACTTTACTCTTCTAGTGCAGAACTTCTTTCTCATTGTGAATGATTCATAACATTCCTTCTACTCAACCCTGAAGGGGTTACAAAACTAATCATACATAAATACAGAGCAGAGCAATTATAGGTTCAGACTTTTGGGTGGAACCACTATTTTAAAAACAGAGCTATTGTGGTTTTGCTCACAAATGTGACAAAGTCAGTGAGCAGTTAAATTTTTTTTAAATAAGAGGAAATGTGAATTTGGGAAGAAGCACAATAAATGACAATTGGAGGAGATGATTTACATTTGGCTAGGAGACAGCAACGATAACCACCTAAAGAACCATGGTCTTCAAAGAAAGAAAATATTCACTTTGCAACACATTTGTGTAACTTTAAATATCTGTAAGTCCAACATGAGCCTTCTGAATAAAATAAATACATAAAAAAAACATTTTAAACATTTTTACGACAGAAGCTGTTTAACTTCTTAATGCCGGTTGACGCTAATTAGCATCAAACCTGCATTCGCTCCAAATGCAACCAAAATAACGTATGTACCTGAAAGAAAATCCACAAGTGAAAAACAATTTTATAACTCAAAACAAATTTAGGCGTTAAGGGGTTAAGCCTTGGTTGTGCTCAAACTAGCCATTAGCTTATCAATCCTTTAGGCTATATCTCCATCCAGGAAGCTCCCTGCACAATTAAACTACTAGTAATTTAATATTTCTACACAGAAAGGATTTCAAATGTCAAAAAAAATCCCTCTAAACTTGTTGAAAAACTAACTGAGTCTCAAAGAATGGAAGTGAAGAGAACTAAAGTCGGAGTAAACTAACATCGTCTGATTTAGACACTCGAAAGAAGTCTGGACCAAACTGACAGAAAGCGGATTAAAAGTGGAATGAATTGGGTCAGTGTGAAATAAGTTACCCCCCCTCTCTCTCTCTCTCTCTCTCTCTCACACACACACACACACACACACACACACACACACACACACACACACACACACACACACACACACACACACACACACACACACACACACACACAGTGCATGTTTGTGAATGTGCTGAGAGCAGCAGGGATGGTAAGTGGCAATAACATGTACTACATCTCTTTATCTTTATGTTTAACTGATCCAGTTTCAACACAGTTTGCCAATGACTCAAGCTCTCCTTGACCTACAATAGTATTTAAAGTGCTCTAAATATTTTCTGCCATAAACAGCCATTTTTATCTTTACTCTCTGGAGACCTTGTTTCTGAGTTCGTGACCAAACATGATGAACGCTCAGCAAACATATAAAAGAAGTCGTAAAGTGATGATCTGAGACTATAGTGTAGTTTACTTCCTCTGTTCATTGCAAATCAAAAATGCAACCTGCATACAAACAAACAAACAAATAAATGCAACATTTTGTTTCGGTATATTAAAGTGTGATGATAAACTTACCTACACAGTAATTATGCTCAAACAAAATCTATATTTGGGGTAACCTAAGCTTAGTTTGAAACCTTTGGGTTATATTGTTATGGTAACTAGTGGTTGCTATGGAAACACTCTGTGATGTAGCTACAGCTACGCTGAGGTAAAGATGAATAACAAGTAAGTATGTAAAGTGTGTTCTCATAAATAATAATAAATTAAATAATAAATATAAAATATTAATGTCTGTTTACATCTCTATGCTTGAAAACGTATTTATTATCTCTTAGCATTCTGATAAATGACACAAATCTTTTCATATTTCTTATTAAACTCTGTTTTCCTTCCCAGAAACCACTGATGTGTTAGGTTTTTGATAACAACTATTCAGTTAAGAGTGACATATTTTACTTTAGGGCAGTCTCTGAGTGAAAGGATACAAAAAAAAAAGACACACCAGCCTTTTGGCTTAGCTGAATAGAAGGGAGGAGAAGTAAAATCCATTTTCTCTAACCAATAATTAAAAACCTACAGTGATTGTTTAGGATCCTGTATTATACCCCTTTGTGTTCAGCATGAGGAAAGACATTTCATTTGTTTATTCTGGAAACATTACTGCATCAAAACTGATGAAAACAGAGAAAAGTTGTTATTATTTTGATTGCCTAGTCTATTTTATCCATTTAAACAATGACTTGGGGACTCCTGACTAAAACGGTTGACAAGCTAGAATAATGGATTTAGTTTATCATCATCTACAGACTGCAGACATCACACTAATCAAGCGTTTTGGCTCCGGCCCAACAGGAGTCATAGAGCCACAAAGCTGAAAGTCAAAGTTTCAACATCAACTTAAAGGTTATCCTGTCTTGCACACACACGTTCTGAGAGCTGAACTGATTACACAAAAAAACTGTAACAGCACCTTTTACATCACAGTGAGCTACAAATGGAGTTAAATACACAGAACTTAAAGCTTCAGGGACACTTTCAGCACAGCGAGAACATCAAAAGCTTTTTCTGAAGCATGAAACAGCTGGCAGGCAGAAACATACAACCCAGCTGCAGAAAACTACACGTGTGAGTCTGTTCCCATACTGCTATAGAGCAAAGTTAATGTAATCAATGGCTAAATAAAAGCCTAAACCATAAACATAAATGAGTTTTTAAAAAGACCAGATCAGATATGCAAGCATCCCAGAGTTGAAGCTGTTCTGAACAAAAGAGGCTAAAGTTCTGAGCTGATGTTCAGCCCTGATCAATAGTTTACCTTTAGCTGCAGTTTGTGCAGCTAAAGTAACTCACATCAGATACGGAAAGCAAAGGTTTGCATATCTCTGCTATGCAAAAATGTGCACTAGTGGATCATTCACTTATTTGGTCAGCTGAGTCTTTAAAGAAGGAAATTACACAAATATTTTAGAGTTTTTCTTGTTAAAATCTTATAACATCTATTAAAACGCCCTGTGTTGTGATATAGCTTCCCACTATAGTGAATACCAGAGGGCAGCGACCTCTGGCAGCGTGATATGTTACTGTGTTTGGTGCTGCTGTGTGAGGATTCACTAACCCTAACCCCAAAATGTAGCATTCTTTAAAATCATCCGCAGAATACAATCCTAAATAAGATGTCAAAATGTTTTATCTTAGATGGAGAACAACAAAACGTGCATTTGTCCATTATTGGACGTGTGAAGGTGTGTGTGAATGGATGAATGATACACTGTAGTGTAAAGTGCTTTGGAGTCCTCTGACTCTGTAAGGCACTATAAGTGCGGGGTTACTATTGAGCCACCAATAATAAATGATGGAGGCCAAACATTTTTTAAGTGTATAAATCATTAGAAGTTTATATAATAAATAAAGTTATGTAAAGTTTATTACTGGGTTCAGATGGAGTTGAGCTACGGGCATGGTGGAATGGACCATCAAGGTCCTACATGTGTCTCCTGTGCATAAAACTAATTACATGAAAAAAATGGTTTCATGCGCTGGAAATCAGGGTCAGCATGTTGTTCTTGAAGTTTAAAAAATCTCCTGTAAGCTCTGACAACTTATACACAATCTGTCTTTAATGTAAACTCAATGAGCATTTTACTGAGTAAAAAAATGTGTGTTTAGAACACGCAGTCATTGGCTGGAAATGAAAAAAACTGAAAAAAGTCCTCGATTTTCAGCTTTTCTGAGAAAATCTGCTGCAAAAAGAAATTCTTAACATTCCTAAAATAAATGCAAACGCCCAACGCTGTTCATGTATGACTTTTAAACCAAGATCATCTCATGTGCAGACACGATGGAGTTATGCAGGTTTTGTTTAAATGTTCAAAATGATCTAAAGGAATGCTGGAGCATCTGTGAAGGTTGCACTTCATTTTTGATTTGCAGGATGTGAAACGCAAATAAGAGCCTTTTCTCAATACCTAAGTACGCTAGTACATTCCTGTGTACTTGACAAGTATGTCTGTGGAAAGTACATCAGAAGGTCTGATCTACCGGTTATGGAAGGACAAGAATGGCATTTGGAACAGGACCATACTCTGCTGTGTTACGGTTAAAAAAAAATGACCCGAAATAAAAATAAAAATCTGGTTTGTCCCTTTAATGACTAAATAACAATTAATACAAATTATTTGTATAATATTTGTTTCACTTTTTATAAAAATTGATTAAATACCAGCATTTCCTGCTGTTAAACAAAGTAAAAACAGAGCTATTTAAGGCCATGCTGCTTTTATTTTGAAGACGTTCTGGATGTTTTGAAATGTACCTGTTTTGCTGTCTTGGTCGTGTGCCTGAAGGCACAGGAGGTGGAGACGGGACTACTCCTATTTTCTGAGTGTCATTATTGCAAAAGAGCATGTGGAACTATGGCTGCATCCAGGTCAGCTTCAAACCTTGAAGAAGAAGAAGACAACAATAAGGGTGGAAAAAGGAAAATAAAAAGCATACAAAACATTAAAGCCCCTATGTTAACACATTTAGCTATCAGGGTGTTTTTTTAAGATAGAATATCTGATTCTTCATCTACAAAGTAAAAAATGAACTATTTTTAGGAAGAACAATTAGGTTTTCTTATTATTAAATTGTTTACAGACAATTTCCAGAGAAAATCAGTTTATTGCTCACCTTGCTGCAAATAAATAAGCATCTCACCTTCAATGGTTCCAGGACACGCTTTTGTTATAACAGGGAAGTCTTAACCAGTCTAGGTGTCCTTCTATTACTAAAACCCGACTACTCCTGCAAAAAGAAGCCTTCGCACACCTGCCCAAAGTAGTTATGGTGTAAACACACATTTCCCAACTCCTCCCTTCCCACCCTAAATACCTAACTCATCAGGTTCAGCAGGTCAGAATGAGACATTTTATCTTTGCAAACTTTAAAAGTGAGAGTCGTCTGGATGATTTCATAAGTCTGAACAGAATGAACAAAGTTGTGTTCTTTAAATGGGGGGTGCTAAAACAGCTCAGTGGCTTCTTGGAGCAACCTGCTGAAAAATGGTCAAACAGCACATCTCTAAAATAGTGACTTAGCCACGGGCACACATCTATTTTGAGTTAGTCTGAATTTAACAGCTTCTATATGCAGGACTGCTTTTCATTATCTCCTGATTTTAAATGTAAAATATAAAATATTCATTAATGAACTGATGAAAAGTTTACTTACAAAGTAAAATAGTTAATTGATCACACTCCCCTGTTGATCAGAGGTCAATGAGTGCATGTTATAATCCAAAACGTGTAAGTAAAGACAATCTACTCATTTACTGACATGGTGCAGAAAAAGAAACATGGACATGTTCCAACCAGCACCTTGAGCAGATTACGTTTGTTGCATAACTTTCTCCTTCAAAAAACCAAGTTTGCAGCTGAACTAATGAGTCTTTTTACATTTGTATTTATTTTTTAATTTCCAGTTTAAAAATCACTGCCTCTAACTCAATCCCAGCACAAAGGAGCCCGAAGAATGAAGAGACAGTTTATCTGAATGGGACTTTCCGGACTAAACAAAGGTCAGAAAGAAAATCCATCAAAACTTTAACTTTGCACCGCTTTGAGAAAACAACCTTGGAAAGTTTACTGCAGTGAATAAAGGGTGTTTAACTGTAAACTCTGGGGGACTTAAGGAGCGAACACAAAACCGCATTATTGTGTAGGGTAAAGGGAGGAGGGAGTCTTACCGTGCGTCGCACTGGGACAGTTATCTCCTCTGATGCATTGCGCTCATTTCAGCACAACTGGGAGGAATCAAGAAAAATAATGGGAGAAAATTATGCGACAACCTCTTTGAAGACAAATAAAATGATGTGAAAAGCGACCCAAACCGGCTCTGGTCCAGTTTTCTGACACCAGAATAACTTTTCAGGATCCGGTTTAGGGACACCAAGTTCTGGTTTAAGTTGTTTTCATTTGCAGACAGTTGGAAGTCTGAAGTGAATTTACATAAAAGCGTAAAAGCTGCAGCACATACCTGAGATTAATTTTTGTTCTGCCTCCGTCGAAATCAGCTCAGTTGCTTTGATTTGACGCGTAATGCGGGGATTTCACGCTCCGTGGCTGTGCGCCCCTGACAGGCATGCGCGTTACCGGTGCGGGACTTTGAGATGAATGGCTGCGGGACCCTTCTTCTTCCTTTTTTGTTTTCCGAGGATGATCGGGCCATAACTTTGCCTCTACGCGCAGGAGCGGGCGGATGTCATCCCTCAGCTCAGCCTCAGCATCGTTCGCTGTGCCGACGAGCAGAAGAGAGCGGAGCCCTCACCGCGGAGAGCCACGTGACCGGGACGGCGCATTGAGCCCCCATTTGAGGGTTGATGGGGTGGGGAGAGAAACCACCTCTGCAGTCACTACAGACTTTACTCGGGTCATCCGGTGCGCCCGTGCGCCTCAGACGCACATGGTTGGAGTCTTTTTCATGCACATCTGATTTTCCAATCAGCAGAACAGAAAAGTCGTTTAGCCCTGTGTTCTAACATCTCAGTAATGAATGCACAAGTGTTGCCAAAGATAATGAACTGGTTAACCACAAAATAACACTCCAAAACACAGCTGAAAGTCAAGTTAACCTTTAATCAAGGTTATTGAGTGTTTGTGGCATTTAAGATCAGACAAACAACCTTCACTGCATTTCACACAACATGATCAGTTCTGTTCATCACACCCAGTCAACAATACTCCTAAATATTACATCTACAGCAAACAGGAAATCAGTGTAATTCCCACTTTTCTCTGATTTGTTTGGATTGTGTATGTTTCATGTCTTCATCCCAAAACTCCTGAGGCTCCTGTTGTCTTCACGATGCAATCTTGTGAACCGCTACCGTGATGGTGCCGTGACTCCTCACCAGAATGTTTCTGTTAAACAATAAAAACACCAATATTCACCTGATAATCAGAAATCACACGGATGATCAGGTTGAAAAGTGGTGTTTTGGTGATCATCGTTTGCTTCGGTCCCACCTCTCAGACATTCACCACGACATTCATTTAATAATCTTACTGTAACTCTACTAAAAGGCACCAATAGAGTTATCAGTGCTAATGATAAGAAACAGATTTTCATACCTTAACCATCTTTAATAAAGCATAAAGGTTTATCATAATTTTAAAAAATCTGATCTCTAAATCATTTATACTAAGTGTAAAAAATCAAAAACAAAATTATTCACAACTTCTGGTTTTATGGTTTCAAACATAATTAAAGCAGTGGTTCCAAAAGTTGGGGTCCCGATGGCCCAGTGGTTCATGGAACACTGAGTTCTGGCTGTGGAGATGATCAATCACAACCTAAAAATACTGTTTGAATATAACTGATGTAAAAGCTAAAATAAGCCTTGAATCGGACTCAAAACCGTTTGTATTTGTATTTATGTTATTTAGACTTTTGAGATAACAAATTATATCTGAGATTGAAAGTTCGCAGCAGTAATTTTAAATAAATAAATATTCAGGAGCTGTCATTGGGTTGGTAAAATGTTCTGAAAGACGAGATGTTCATTTACCAGAAGATGGCAGCACAACGACATAAATAAAATCCCACAGTTGGTTGACTTCCTCCCTCTCCATCCTCCATGGAGCCTCCGTCCACTAAAGAGGACATTGGCTTTTTAATTTTTTATTCTGTAGTTCAACTTTGGACCCGTTTTTAATGATGATGGGGTTATTTAAATGTCTACGAGGTTATTAGGGGAAATTAAAAAGGGCTTGGAGTCTCAAGAAAATATCTCAGCTGCCTTTTGGGAAAGAAATGAACAACATTCTGGAATCTAATGCCAAGAACCGAGCATGTTCAGTTCAAAGTCACAAATGGCATTGCCTTTGGTAAGTAAATAGAAACTGGAGGAACCAGATAAGCGTACTGGTTTTAGCAACCGCGATGAAGGCTCGGACCCGGATGCTAATAGCTGCTGGGAGACAGTGAACCACTGGATCAGATTCAGAACCCTGAGTCTCTGGTTCTGATCTCTCTCAAAAAGCTTTTTTTAGAGTAATTGATCTCCGTACACATTAATCAGAACCCCCAAAGGTACATCTTAAATACCCCGAGATAGATTTTTAAAAAGAATTACAAGTCAAGCTAAAACCCGGTCAGTGCTCTCACCCTGACTCAGACTCCAGGCACACGGTCGGGGTGACTGTTGGGTCTCTGGTGAGCGCCATAGCTTGTTTGGACAAAACAGACACAACACCACCGTGTTCATCAGACAAGGAGCCACGACCTAAAAGAAAAAAGAAAAGAAACACGCAATGAATTATTTAAATGTCTTAAAAAAAGGAAATCAGTGCATCTTTCAAACAGTCATTTTCTGTGATTTGTGTTAATTCCAAACCTGTATACAACAATGACCTCCTTATGAAGGATTGTTAATATATTGCAAACATTTCTGTCCCACTGCTGTTATTTAGTCCAGACTGAGGATTTCTGAATTCTGGGGTCTCTCGAGGATCTGAATCATGTTGAACTCATTGTTTGGTTTCTGTCTTCTGCATCTTTTGACTATTTCATTTAGGTTTGTCCATGTACCAGGGAAACATTGCTACTGACTACACAAAACAATACTCATGTTTACCCACTTCCAGCAGTTACATCATAACCTTTTCAAAATAACTTTCAACAAGACCTAAAAAGATAATAAAAGTATGAGGACGCTAACAAAGAGCTTAGACTTTGCTGGATGCCTCTGTTATACATATTAATTAAACCGAACAGAAAAAATATATATACTGATATATCCATCATTTTTCTTCCAATTATCAAAGTCTGGGTTGCTAACAGGTCCAGGAGCGAAGCTCAGATTTCTCTGATCTCAGTGACTCTCCATCTCCATCAAGACAGCTAGAGGGCAGACAGCCCCTCCAGCAAGTTCTATGCTCCAGCAACCGTCAAGCTGTGATTCTTCAGACCACATGATACCTGTCAGCTGCTGCAGGAGTCCTCTGGGAAGTAAAATAATTACTTTATATTATCATCAGTTGTTCTGCTTTGTGTTTCATTGCACAGCTGATGAAAATGGACTGGATATGTTCTGAATTCACAGCCTAAGTTAAATTTAGAGCATGTTCATCTCCCTGAAGTTTGATGAATTGTAGAAGAGATCAAAGTTCAAACTAAACCATGGAAGCCAAACAAGTAACACAGAATCAATTCCACGGAGTATTCACTTTCCCAATGACAGTAATTGTTGTATGTGAATAATGTTCATAAATGACCTCACTAACTAACTGCGTGGTTACTAAGCATTTAGTATTTATTAGTTTATGAGTAATAATCAACAATAAACAATTATAAGCATCATTTTGGATTGGTTGTGTTTAGAGAATTATAAAAACATTACATTTTAATTTTAATTATACCTCATTAGCCTTTGTGATTAAATTTGATTACAGCAGCTTCCTGTTGACCTGTTAAACAGCCAGAAGAGCTCATTCCATCAGAAATGCTAATCTCATTATGCTAACAGTGCAAACACTGTGAAGATTTTCTGGCATATGAAATAAGTTGAGATTTTAATGGTTGAAATGTATGATTCACAGTAACTTCAACTATACTGTAGTATGTATTTCAACCTTTACAGATGAAAATAGCTAAACTGAAGGAAATAATATTATTTGTGTGTTACATTAATAGCTTTTGCTGCAACTAAGTTATTTCATTATTCAAAAAAAAAAAAGAACACGACACTGACGTAGCCTTGTAAAAGCTAACTAAACCGAATATGTTTCATACATTTTGCTGTAAATCTTTTTTAAATTAATCTTACAGCCCAGGTTGTGTCCTTGGTGATCTGTGCAGAGCACACCGACAACTGCTGGATTCTTCATGCTACAAAAAAACAAGGAGAAAGGCTTTAATGAAACAAAAAGTGAAGTACGTCAGCAGTTAGAGTGAGATTTTTAACGTACGTGTCATCGAGATGCTGTTCAAGAGTCGACTCCATCGTTAACAAACGAAAAGAGAGAAAAGGTTTAATTGTTTACAGTTTCATCGACGTTTCCGGTTAGAGTCAGCTGGCCGTCACATGCGCTACGAGTCACAACGAGGACCAAAAAGTGTGACGCGAAAGAGAAAGAGAGAGAGAGAGAGAGAGAACGCAAAATCTTTCCATTTACATTACATAAACAAAATAGGCATAGATAGATAGATAGATAGATGATAGATAGATAGATAGATAGATGATAGATAGATAGATAGATAGATAGATAGATAGATAGATAGATAGATAGATAGATAGATAGATAGATAGATAGATAGATAGATAGATAGATAGATAGATAGATAGATAGATAGATAGATAGATAGATAGATAGATAGATGATAGATAGATAGATAGATAGATGATAGATAGATAGATAGATAGATAGATAGATAGATAGATAGATAGATAGATAGATGATAGATAGATAGATAGATGATAGATAGATAGATGATAGATAGATAGATAGATAGATAGATAGATAGATAGATAGATAGATAGATAGATAGATAGATAGATAGATAGATAGATAGATAGATAGATAGATAGATAGATAGATAGATAGATAGATAGATAGATAGATAGATAGATAGAATTAGCATTTTCCTTCAAGTTTTATTAAATTTTCCAATAATAATAATAATAATAATGTTATGGGCGGCACCACCTCATCCCCCGTCACACTGAACACTGGTGCACCGCAGGGGTGTGTGCTGAGCCCTCTCCTGTACTCACTCTACACCTACGACTGCACGGCCACGAGAAACTCCAACATCATTGTGAAGTATGCGAACGACACCACAGTGATAGGTCTCATCACCAATCACGATGAGACGGCCTACAGGGAGGAGATCAGCGCCCTGACCCACTGGTGTCAGGACAGCAGTCTCACCCTCAACGTCACAAAGACAAAGGAGATGATAGTGGACTTCCGGAGGAGCAGAGGAAGCAGAGGAATACACCCCCCCATCACCATCAACGGCGACGCTGTGGAGAGGGTGAGCAGTTTCCGTTTCCTTGGAGTTCACCTGGCAGAGGATCTTACGTGGTCAGTGCACACGGAAAATACAGTGAAGAAGGCACAGCAGCACCTCTTCTTTCTCAGAAGACTGAAAAGATTTGGCATGAGCCACCGTATCCTCAGGACCTTCTATTGCTGTGCCATTGAGAGCATCCTCACTGGATGCATCTCCACCTGGTATGGCAACAGCACCGCTTACAACCGCAAAGCTCTCCAGAGAGTAGTGCGGTGTGCAGAAAGTATTATTGGAGGTGAGCTTCCCTCCCTCCAGGACATCTATAAGAAGCGGTGCCTGAGGAAAACGGGGAGGATCATCAAGGACTCAAGTCACCCCAGCCATAAACTGTTCAGACTACTTCCATCAGGAAGGAGGTTCTGCAGCATCCGGTCCAGAACCAGCAGACTGAGAGACAGCTTTTTCCATCAGGCCATCAGATTGCTGAACACTTCACAGACACCTCACCCTCACTACTGAAACTCCAACATTACACATTCCATACTGTACATTAATGCCACTGTTTTGCACATACCAGCCTCTGTATATTTTATATCTCTTATTTTATTGTTTACTTTATTCATTTGTATATTTAGATTAGCCATTTTTATATTTTACATGTTTTTACGTTACTGTATTTTTGCACAACTCTGTTGCTGTGAAGCTCGCACACAAGAATTTCACTCGCATGTACTGTACCAGTGTACCTGCACATGTGACGTGACAATAAAAGTGATTTGATTTGATTTGATAATTATTATATTATATAATAATTATTATTAATAATTAATAATAATAATAATTATTATTATTATCATTATCATTATATCATGGATGTTAAAAACACCATTATAATCCAAGTTCCACTGTCCTATGTAAGATGAGTCATTGAGATAATTGATATAATTTTCATTAAATAGATAGAACTGAAGCCCATCTAGCCTCATTGTCTGCAGTCATAACATGGTTACTTGAAAATGTGGTTTTGATTAATGTTGTCACTGACAAGTGGAATCATTTCCGGAATCCAAACCATCAGAGCTGATTCCTATTAGGTTCTTCATGAAAACAATATTTTTGGCATGTCTGTACAATTCAATGCATTCCTTTGCTCAAAATCACCTTGTGTATTTGTTAAAATTAGCAATTGCAGCACTTTGATGATGGAGTATTTTAAAGATATTTCTTCTAAAGTTAGTTTGATACATTTGAGCTCTCCATCCTGTATAACTTCGCCTGCCTATTCCAAGATGGTGGGGCTTCAGTGCTCCTGCTGACTGAGCAGAAATGGGTGAGTATAATTATGTGGCTGCAGCATTGGGGAATCCATCACTGGAGCAGCAACAATGCAATGTCCTGCTGACTAACCTATGGGCTACTCTCTCCCTCCTTTCCTCTAATTCTTCTTTCTTTGCTTCCCCTCTTCTCTTTCTCATATTTCTCCTTGTGCATCTTAAATCACCAGAAGCCTGCTTCCGTTGACAACCAGCCTCTCATCACTGTCCCAGTATGCACGTAGGCAATGGTGCAAGTACGCAGAACCATTTCCTAGATTTGTTACGTCACAGTTTCTTTTCTGGTCACACACACACACACTTGTATATGTTTATGGGTGTGACACACACATATGAGGAAAGATGGTTGACTTTATGGTGGATCAGCAAATGAGCTCTGACTCAGCATCAATACATCATCAACCTGTTGTAACTCCATCCATGGAAATCAAAACAAATCAAGACATTTTTTTTAAATTTTAAATTCTATTTAGTAACACTTATTTAAAATATGTGGACATTATTCAAGAAAAATTAAAAAATTTATGTTTGTTTTTTCAAAAAGGACATGGTAGATTACACTCAAATGTGATGCAATAAAATAAAAATACTATTATTCATAAAGCACTGTTGTTACCCATCCTTTACATTATGTTAGTTGGATTTTTTGAATGATCAAATAAACAATAAAAATTCTGAAAACATGGGAAAGTTGAAAAAAAGTTAAACAATACTACCTTATATTTTATTATTAAATAAAAATTGTGAATTATGTTGTTGAAAAGGAATTTAAAATGTGTTTTATTCATGGTGTGGACAATAAAAAGTTAATTCAGCATGACGGTAAACGGGATAATGCAAATAAAAAATGAAGGAACATCACGCATGTGCACTGATTCCTTCATCAGAATAGCTCCCTTCCAATTAGTCACATTCCCACATATTTCTGAACTTTGTGGCTCATTTACTCACAATCAGTTATTTGCAGCAGTAAATATGTTTTTTTTAGAATCCTTTAACTTATGGAAACTGTGACCATCTCAGTTTGAAGGAGGTGTAAATTTATACATCATGCACTCGTCACAGATCTGCATGAAGAGCGTATGTATCCATCATCTGGATAAGTAGGATGACAAAGCTTAGGAGACAAGCAGAGAGGGGCGTGGGGACATGTCCAACATTAGGAGGGAGGGGGAAAATACTGGGTGGCAGTCGCAGGTGGATAAAAAGAGGGAGAGACTGAGGCACTGTTCTTCATCTGAGAAGTTTGAGTAGTGCCTGAAGAGTATAGCAGTCAGCTGTGGAGTCTGTTAACATCTGGAAGTCTCCAGAGGTTCTGCTGCTGTCATGGACTTTAGCGTGGTGCTGCTGTCCTTCCTCCTGGTGTCTCTGAGCTGGTCCAGAGGAGCCGTCATCACAGGGGTGAGTGAGAGGACTGAAGCTCATTTTAGATCAGAAATCTTACATTTTTAATTCTAAACTTTTCCTGTTATTTTCTTGACATTCAATTTTAAAATGTTATGCTGATGAGAAATAAAGAATAAAACTTTATGAGGGCTGCTAAACATTAATCATAGGTCAATAACTTCCTACATATACTTATATGCGAGTGTATGCTAGTGTTTTTGCATTAATGTCAAACGGAACAGCTTTGTTTATGGATGACCATGTAGAATTTAATTACCCATGATTGATAGCAGACCACATCCTCCTCCACTTGGAAAAATCCAAAGGAAATGATCTCCGCCTTCAGATTGATGTTCAGTTATCGGCCATGTTACCATTACCTGCCATTTTTATAGCTGAAAGTTTCATTGTATTTTTATTCTTATTGTGTGTTCATGTTATATGTAGCACATTAAAGAAAGTTCCTAGCTCGTGAATTGTTTGTTCACTGACAATGGCAATAAACCTTTTTCTGATTCTGATTCTGATTTGTAAACAGGTTAAGAGGATGGCAAGTTATTTATAAAATGTTTCATACATACAGATTTATTAGAAAATTATGGAAGATTTCCATTCTTACTAAAAGATTCATGGAATTTAAATATAATAAATACAAATAATTGAAATAAAACTACATATTTATTCTCTAATTTTTCCCTTTTGGTTGTATTTTCACCATTTGTGTGCCGTGTGTCCTGCAGGCCTGTGAGAGAGATGTGCAGTGTGGGTTTGGTCTTTGCTGTGCTGTCAGTCTGTGGCTGAGGGGTCTGAGGATGTGCATCCCGAGAGGGGTAGAAGGGGACGAATGCCACCCTTTCAGCCACAAGGTAGGTGGAAATGTCACTGCAGTAATCTTCCAGCCTCTCTTACTCACAAACACACACGCCATCTTCATCTTTGTCACTTCCCTTTTAAAAATATCTGATCGTATCAGGCGCTGGCAGGTTGGCCGAAGCTTTAGAAAAGCTGCTGATAACTGCAGAGGCTATTGATCTTCTCCACAGCCAATGAGCAGATTTGAGTCTTAAACCTCATTGATCATCTGGACAGGTCGCATCCACCACTGCAACTCACTTAAGAGCAGCTTTTAAGGCCCACCGCTCCACTTGATGGTGTTCATGAGATCCGATCAACCCTCTTTCAGCCTCTTTTTTGTTGTTTTCACCTCTTTTTCAGGTGCCATATGCGGGGAAACGACTACATCACACATGCCCTTGCCTTCCTCACTTGGTGTGCACCAGGTTTGCTGACAACAAGTATCGATGTACTGAAGACTTCAAAAACATAGACTTTTAACAGCTGGACAGAGAGCAGGAAGCAGCAGCTACGACTGAAGACTTGAACAAAATGTGGATCACAATCCTGCTCGACTATATTCATCATTTATTTACTCTATGCAGGAAAATAGAAATTATACTGATGCACAAGTCTAAAATATGACAAGAGAAAGATATGAGGAACCTCCAGAGAAGTGAGACGTCTTGACTTTGGCATCAAGATGTTTGTGAATCATTTAAACATTTACTGTTTCTGTTTTTGCTCACTTTATATTATTTATCAGAAGATATGTTAAAATATATTATTATCAATAAAAATAATGTTATTAATTTCTCGCATTGCTGAGGTTTAATTTTTGTTGTTTATTCAAGTTTCAACTGTGTTAAAGGTCTGGAAATCTTAAAAAGGTTATAATCAGGGACTTGCAGCACATTAGAGGAGATAGTTATAGAAAACACCCAGCTCACTTACAACAAGACCTTTATTACAAATATTGAGTGTTTCACTCATAAAGCTCTGCTGTTTTAATGAATAAAACATCATAGTTTTAATATAAAACTAGGTAGAAGATTTGATACTGTCACGCTGCCTCCTTCACAACCCTCGACATCCTCCGGGGGAGGACCACACACTCCCTCAGGCCAACCGAACTCCACTACCCAGCATTCCCAGCGCCAGTCTTCCGGCCCACGTCACCCTGTAAGGCTTGACTCGAGCTGAGCTGAACCGGAGCGAGAGTTCGGGATGTAGCGTGTTTGTAAACCCAAGTGCGGAGTGACTGACTCCGGGCAGGTTGACACGCGGTTAGCTCTAGGAGTCAAACCGTATAATGACTGGAGAGCACGGCGGCTCCAAAAGGTAACAAGCTGACTTACTTTGAGTCGGCAGAGTGAGTAGCACGGGCTGATCTGGTCAGAACGGCCTGAGTGATCGGGTTGGATCTGGTCGGAACTCGGAGCACAGTTCGGTTAGAACGATGACTGAGTGGTTTGGCGTTCAGCTGTACTTCCTTATGTAGATGTGGCAGGTGACGTGGGCCGGAAGACTGGCGCTGGGAATGCTGGGTAGTGGAGTTCGGTTGGCCTGAGTGAGTGTGTGGTCCTCCCCCGGAGGATGTCGAGGGTTGTGAAGGAGGCAGCATGACAGATACAACTAAAGTTATCCACTCCGCTGTGGTCTGTTGGGGTGCATGCAGCTCTGACCGAGACAGGAAGACTGAACAAGCTAGTTCGTGAAGCTAGCTCGGTTCTGAGCTGCCGACTGAATTCAGTTGAGGAGATGTGTGAAAGGAGGATGCTGGGGAAGATGACCTCCATCTTAAAAAACCCTCCCACCCAATGCATTCCACTGTGGAGACCATGGACAGCTCCTTCAGAGGCAGACTGACATCCCAGACGTAAAACAGAACGCTACCGTAGGTCATTCATCCCCTCTGCAGTAAGAGTGTCTAACTCCTCAATTTAAACTGTACTGGCATTATCCTGTTACACAATAACACCTTCACTCGTTCACTCATTCAATACCAGATTTACATACTATATCCGTGTCTCTTGCAGTATAGTGTTGGAACCCAAGTTTTTTCCTTTTTATTCATGTTTTTGGTGGAAGATTACAATTCTAGAATACTGCCTATGTATCTTTGTATGAGTTTATATAAGCACATAAGCTGTAAAATCATGGAGTCCTCACTTGTTCAGAGTGAAGAATGTTGATGTCTGGCTTTCATGCAGAGAGTGTAGGAACCTTGGGAGAGAATGTTTGTCTGGATGTTTTGTCTTCTGTATGTAAACACGCACTGAACACAACCTTCTGGGTTTGGAAGGCCAAACAGAAAGTGAATTTATTTCTGTACATGAAAGGTTATTTTGGTGGTCAATTTATAGGTGAAAATAATTGACCCTTTTGGTACGTTACAATGCAATCAATTTTCCAAAATTAATCTTTCCACCTGCCCCTTGGACCCAATCCCATCCCCACTGGAAAAACCGTGTCTTCCATATCTCACTCCACTAATCCTGGATATAATAAACTCATCAATTACCTCTGGCACCGTCCCTTCGGCCCTCAAACTGGCTGCCATCAAACCAATACCTAAAAAACCCGGACTGGACCATGACAATCCTGAAAAATTTAGCCCTATCTCCAAACCTCCCTCTAATAGCCAAAATCCTGGAACGTTCAGTGGCCTCTCAGCTAACTGAACATCTTCATTCAAATCAGCTTTTTGAGACTTTTCAATCTGGATTCTGCTCTCACCACAGTACTGAAACAGCTCTAATCAAAGTGTCGAATGACCTCCTGGTGGCATCAGACTCTGGATCACTGTCCATACTCCTCCCCCTTGATCTTAGTGCTGCTTTTGATACCATTGTTCATTCCAGTCGTCTACATCGTTTGCAATCTCATGTTGGTGTTACTGGTTCAGCCCTCTCCTGGTTCACATCTTACCTCTCCAACAGATCTAAATTTTTCTCCTTAAACAATTGCAGATCTGATATCACCCCAGTAACCCATGGTGTCCCTCAGGGATCGGTTCTTGGTACCCTTCTCTTCATCATCTTCATGCTACCCCTTGGGCATATCATACGCCACCGCGGACTCCAATTTCACCGCTATGCAGATGACAGCCAACTCTACCTAGCTACAAAAAACATCAATTCCACTACTGTTTCCACTATAACAAACTGCCTCAATGCCCTAAAAATCTGCATGCCTACAAACTTTCTCAAGCTCAACTACAGTAAATCTGAGTTAATCATAACTGGACCCAAATCCCTTCTCTCCTCTTTCAAAGATTTCACGCTCAGTATCAGAAACCTGGGAGTCAGTTTTGACCCTTTACTCTCTTTCCTACCACACATCCATCATGTCACTAAAACAGCCTTCTTTCACCTTCAAAATATTGCCCGTCTACGCCCTATTCTGTCCTCTATTGCAACAGAAACCCTCATCCATGCCTTCATCTCCTCTAAAATAGATTACTGCAATAGCCTACTCTATGGTCTTCCATCCACACACATAAAAAAAACTTCGGTATGTTCAAAACTCTGCTGCACGGCTCCTCACTCACACCAACAAGAGAGATCACATAACCCCGGTCTTAAAAAACCTTCATTGGCTTCCCATTCAGCAGCGCATTCAGTTCAAGATCTTACTCATCACCTACAAGGCCCTCAGTAATCTTGCCCTTTGTTATCTATCTGATCTTCTGCATCTCCACCTCCATTCTCGTTGTCTTAGATCTTCTGATTCCAGTCTCCTCTCTCACACAATAACTTCAAAACGTCGCAACATTGGGGACAGAGTTTTCTCTGTGGCTACTCCCACCTTATGGAACTCTCTCCCCCAACATATTCGTACTGCTGACTCACTTCATAAAGTCAAAAAAACTTCTGAAAACTTAGCTGTTTAATCAAGCATTTAAAGCCTGATAATTTATTTTACTGTCTCTTTCTCTCTGATTGCAAAGCGTCTTTGTGTAGTGGTTAAAAGCATCATACAAAACCAATGCATAATAATAATAATAATAATAATAATAATAATAATAATTATTATTATTATTATTATTATTATTATTATTATTATTATTATTATTATTATTGTCAGGAACCGAGCAGTAAAACTCCAGGACGAAGGAATAAAAACATATTCCCCATTAATTTCCATAAATAATTAGCAAAGATCGAGACAAAAGGGGCCCCAAAGAAAAATAGCCACTAAAATAACCTTCACTATAACAAGCAAGACTGGTACCGAGGCTGAGACACCAACAATGAGCACACAAGGGAATTTAAAGAGCAAGTCACCCCCAAATAAAATTTTTGCTGATAAACTAAATAAACTAGTGTCTAATCGTGCTGCAGACACATGTCGTCAATAATTTGGCACTTCAGTGCATCTTAGTTAAAATTTAAATATTCTGCCTAAAACTGGCAGTGTTGTGCCATTGTCAGGTAAAAACTCTGCACTGTATTTTAATTTAAATCTGCCACCAATATTGGCTAAGAGGTATGCTATGATGTAAACTGGTACATTATGATTTCACAATGCTGTCGTGAGCCTGAGTGTGTGTGTATTTGTTAGCGGCTCCGCCCTCTCGGTCTGCCAGGCAACAGCATGTGTTGCATTTTTCAAACATGAAGTGGGAGAGGAGTTAGACTCTGGTAGGGGTTGACTTGCTCTTTAAACACAAAGGCTAGTCTACAGACAATGAGGAGGGGAGAGACAGGGGGAACACTAAGACAAACAGTAAATAAACCTAGGAAACTAAGTCAACAAGGTATAACAACAAAAAAAGTTAAACTAATACATCCTGACAAAATCTGGTAAACCGAATTAGAGCTTCAGAACTTCTGGTTTCTTCATGAGCAAGCCCCCCCGTTTCCAGCAGCCAGATGGAATGTCCCACTTCCTGCTTGGAGCTACACTGGAAGTGTCCTCTCTCTCTCTCTCTCTCTCTCTCTCTCTCTCTCTCTCTCTCTCTCTCTCTCTCTCTCTCTCTCTCTCTCTCTCTCTCTCTCTCTCTCTCTCTCTCTCTCTCTCTCTCTCTCTCTCAGCCAGTTCTTACAATCTCAGCAAAATACAAATGAAAATAGTTAATGATCAAATAAGCTATGTTTAAGATAAATTACTAAATGTGTGTACCCATTAGTAACATCCTAAAATATTGCTACAAAACGAAATAATTCCATGCTGTCGTTCTTTTTAAAACACAGAAACTGTTTCGTTTCCTGTTTTGTCGCTACGTTTCGTCTGCAGCTGCAGACTTCCTCAGACTTCCTAAAATGAAATAATAAACAAGCAAGTTTAGAAAAATATTTAAGATAATACTAACCCTGAGAAATGGCTGGGGGAACTTCCACAATTATTAATATTATTATTATTATTATTATTATTATTATTATTATTATTATTATTATTATCCCCTTAAGTGTTGGTGCTGCTGTAACAAGTGAATTTCTCCACTGTGGGATCATTCTATTCTAAAGACATCTGATTTAATCATAAAAAGCAGCAAATCCACATAAGGTTGGTGCTAGTCTACTTAGCTTAAGGTATTTGGTCACTTTGCTACTTCAGAATAAATCTGGATTATTATGAGTGTGTGTTATTATCTAATGTTTGCGGTCCGGGATGGCTGTAGAGCCTGACCCAGGGGATTTATGACAACCTCTTTTGTAATAAGCTACGTGTTGGCTGATCACTAATAGAAACACAGCGATGGTTACATGCTCTTCATATTTAATCAGAGAGAGCAGAGCTGCTTATCATCTTCATCAGGTCTTTCCTGAAAGGCTTCTGCTCCTCTGCAGCCAAGGAAAATTCTCAAACCTAG